GCTTTTGCCTGATCCTGGAAGAGTGTGACTTGCCCAAGGTCATCTAGTGGGCTTCTCTGCCTGTGTAAGGATTTGAACCCTATTTTCCAGAGTCATGGTCCAATGATAAAACTGCTATGCAGAATGACTCTTCTCTTCATGACTGAGAGTAATTTTGCTGGTGCAGGGTCATTTCATTTCATTAAATATTGTGATGGTCTAGAGTTTGATGCTTTGTCAATAACTGGCAAGAGTGCCTTGCCAGGAAGAGCTGCAAACAGGATAGCATCCTGCACCCAATTCCTCCATGTCTGTATTATTTTAAATGAAAGTATTTTTGTAGTTTTGCTGTGTGCTACATAGGGGACATTGATGGTACTTTGAGGCAGTTTAAGGCACGAGAGTGACAGACTGTGAAATAGGATAAGAGAGGACAACCTCATTTAGTAGGACACATTAGTATAATCTTTTGGCAGAGGCGGGGGGGGGTCGGGGGTCTGCTGCTACATCATTATTTGCACAAACCCTTTTCTGCAAGCTGCTACAAACAGGAGAGCTGAATGATAACAAAAAAAAGAAGGGAAGGGAAAAAATGAGAGATTTATAACCCCAGTGTAAGCTGCCATCTAATGGTCAAACTGCAGAAATGCTGGCTCATTTGAAACAAAAATGAAATTGGCAGATGAAAACTACAAAATGTATATATTTGGTGAGCAATACAAGTTGAACATCCTCTCTCTGGGAGTTCAAAATACTCCACAATCTGAAATTGTCCGCATGCCTGGCTGAATTAGTGATATGTATTTATCGTGTCAGGGGCAGCCAGACAATTGTATTACATTTCTAACAGAACAAAACAAACAAACAAACAGACAAAACACAACATTTGCAAGCTTGGTAGTTGATTAAATGTCCTTTGACCAGTATCTGGCCACTTGGAGTGCTTCTGGTGTTGCTGCAAGAAGGTCCTCCATTGTGCATGTGGCAGGGCTCAGGGTGCATTGCAGCAGGTGGTCAGTGGTTTGCTCTTCTCCACACTCTCATGTCGTGGATTCCACTTTGTAGCCCCATTTCTAAGATTGGCTCTGCATCTCGTGGTGCCAGAGCACAGTCTGTTCAGCGCCTTCCAAGTCGCAGTCTTCTGTGTGTCCAGGGGGGAGTCTCTCATTTGGTATCAGCCATTGATTGAGGTTCTGGGTTTGAGCCTGCCACTTTTGGACTCTCGCTTGCTGAGGTGTTCCAGCGAGTGTCTCTGTAGATCTTAGAAAACTATTTCTTTATTTAAGTCATTGACGTGCTGGCTGATACCCAAACAAGGGATGAGCTGGAGATGTCTCTGCCTTGGTCCTTTCACTATTGGCTGCTACTTCCCAGCGGATGTCAGGTGGTGCAATACCGGCTAACAGTGTAATTTCTCCAGTGCTGTAGGGTGCAGACACCCCGTGATAATGCGGCATGTCTCATTAAGAGCCACATCTACTGTTTTAGCATGGTGAGATGTGTTCCAAACTGTGCATGCATACTCAGCAGCAGAGTAGCATAGCATAGTTTGGTCGTGATCCCCAGGTTGTGCCAGTCAGCTTTCATATGATATTGTTTCTAGCACCCACTTTTTGCTTGATATTCAGACAGTGCTTCTTGTAGGTCAGGGCACAGTCCAGGGTGACTCCCAGGTCTTTGGGTGCGCTGCAATGCTCCAGTGGGATTCCTTCCCAGGTGATCCTCAGAGCTCAGGATGCTTGTCTGTTCTTAAAGTGAAAGGCGCATGTCTGTGTTTTAGATGGATTAGGGATCAGCTGATTTTCCCTGTAGTAGGCAGTAAGGGCACCTAGAGTTTCGGAGAGCTTCTGTTCTACCATCTCAAAGCTCCCTGCTTGAGCCATAATGGCATGATCTGAATTAGTGATACATTTGCTATATATATGTACACACACACACACATACAGATTCAAAACAGAAATTTATATTTTGTCCACCAAGTCCTGCACCTGCATTTGACTTAACATAGTTGTAATTTATGTTGGAAGGGGACGTAGTAAGCAAAGTGCAATCAAACTGCTGTAATTGTATAGTGTGACAGGCTATGTCTGAGAAACTCATGCTATGTTGTGGCTGAGATAGTGATGTGTTCCTGGATGTACTAATTATTTCAATAATTAGTTACTAGTAGGTAACTAACTTGTTCTCTGATTACCATTTTGCATTTAGTTTTTTTTTCATCTGTTGGACTTTAGCAATCAAGGGAAACAAAGTACATTCTGCAAGATTGAAATCTGCATTATTGCAAGAAATATTCTTTCGTCAGAAAACATCCAGGAATTCTCCATCTAAACAAGGTACAGTTCTCTATACAAGAGTTTCTCAAAATAACTCCAAGTGCTTCATGAAAAGTTAAGCATTTTAAAATAATAATAATAATAATAATAATAATAATAATAGAAATAAATGGGGGAAAATCTCAATATAGTGATTTTTTTGCACCCACGAGTAGCATGTACAAAGGTATCAAGAAGAGAATATATTTAGCTCCTTCAAAAATTCAACTCGATAGTCACATTGTGCAAATTAAAACAGTCTTATCCTATTCATTGAATTCCTTTTTAACAAAACCAATAAAAAGTTTGTAACAATATCTATAAATACTTAATGTGTGTAACAAATCGTGAATCTGCAGTATTTGCTCTGAATTCATTCACAAATGTTTTGTCTTACGGTTTTGCCACAATTTTTCTTTTTTCTGTTTATTTCCTTTTGTGTGTGTATTTGTGAAATTGGTGGAGAAAATAAAAAAATTGAATGATGAAACTTAATGTCTTGCATATTTAAATTCTGCAACGACCTTGTCAATATTATTGTCATTTTATTTATCAAATACAGTATGTACGTATCTGCAAAATGATGTTTAGTGCTCCGCCTTGAATTTCACATTTCAGAGGTGTTCCATGACTGAAAAAGTTTGAGAACTCCTCCTCTATACTTTGTCTCACTACCAAAAAGGGGATATTCAAAATTAGGACAAAACCTTCTAGTGGGGAAAACAGCCCCCCTCCTGAGTCTGAACCATGAATACATTGTGAAATTGCCCACATGAGCATAAGGTGGTTTTCTGGTTTGCTTGTTTGCTTATTTATTTAGTGTTTATTTATTTGGTGAAAGATGTAGAGATGCCATCTGATCTAGGAGGCTTAATGGAGTTGTGAAAGGAGAGGCTGTAAGCTATTTTTCAGAGGAAGAAGCTGGCAAAACCAGCACTGGTTCTTCATGGTTGAAAGAAACTCTATCAATTCAAGGGACTGCTTGAATGTACATTAAGGAGATGTAGCTCTCTAGGATCTAGCATGGGTTTGTTATGTCAGATCATTCCAGGATCTGACCCCTTTTGATGTTCAGGGCTGATTCCAGTGAAGTTGTTGAAACTTAACCACAGGCTAAGGAATGATATTTTTCTGCACAGTATCCTAGCCTTGAGATTTCTTACCTCTGCCCTTAAAACTGGAGAAAAGAGGCTAGGCCTCAAGATCTGGGAACCTTGAAGGATTTGTCTATGACTCCCGGACCTCAAGAACTGATCTGCTCCTGGATTAGACTAATTATGGTGAGATAGTTGCCCTTTTAATAAAATATAAAACCAAGAGGGAGAAAGTACGATCTTCTAAATATTATTGGACTGCAGGATCCTATCATCCTTTACCACAGCCCATGTTGTCTAGGATTGAATAAAACCACAATGTTCAAAGAGGCAAACAAAAAAGATATTTGATGCAGTCCTAGAAAATGATATGTCTGTGCTCTTTGTGGGATTTTTTTTCATGTTAGGAGCAACTTGTGAAACTGCAAGTCACTTCTGGCATGAGGGAATTGGCCTTCTGCTAGGACATTGCCCAGGGGATGCCTGGATGTTTTTGATGTTTTATCATCCTTATGGGAGGCTTCTCTCATGTCCCCACATGGGGAGCTGGAGCTGATAGAGGGAGCTCATCCACGCTCTCCCTGGATTCGAACCTCCGATCTGTCGGTCTTCAGTCCTGCTGGCATAAGAGTTTAACCTAGTATTTCTCAACCATCCTAATGCCGTGACCCCTTAATACAGTTCCTCATGTTGTGGTGACCCCCATCCATAAAATTATTTATGTTGCTACTCCATAACTGTAATTTTGCTAGTGTTATGAATCGTAATGTAAATATCTGATATGCAGGATGCATTTTCATTTACTGATTCATTTGTGACTAAATTTGGCACAAATACCCGATACGCCCAAATTTGAATACTTGTGGGGTTGGGTGGGGGATTTGTTATTTTCATTTGGGAGTTGTAGTTTCTGGGATTTATAGTTAACCTACAATCAAAGAGCATTCTGAACTCCATCAGCGATGGAATTGAACCAAACTTAGCACACAGAACTCCCATGACCAACAGAAAATGCTGGAAGGGTTTGATGGGCAGTGACCTTGAGTTTTGGGGTTGTAGTTCACCTACATCCAAAGAGCACTGTGGACTCAAACAATTATGGATCTGGACCAAACTTGGCACAAATACTCTATATGCCCAAATGTGAACATTGGTAGAGTTTGGGGAAAATAGACCTTGACATTTAGGGGTTGTACCTGCTGGGATTTATTGTTCATCTTCAATCAACGATAGAATTGGTCCAAACTTCCCACACAGAACCCCCATGACTAACCGAAAATACTGTGTTTTCTGATTGTCTTTGGTGACCCCTATGACCCCCCCCCATGGCCCCTCCACCAGGGGTCCTGACCCCCAGGTTGAGAAACACTGGTTTAACCCACTGTGCCACTGGGGGCTGCTTCTTTGTGGGATGTAACACATTGATAATCCAGACCTAGATGAAAAGTCAAAATTGTGTTGGTATTTGTAGGCATGAGAAGAGGGTGAGGATCTATCATTTGAAGACATTTTGCTTTTATAATCTTTTGACCTTCTTTAAGCTTGAGGCCAATAATTGTTTTTGGCCGTGTCTTCCGCCATTTTCCCTGTTAAGTGATCTTTAGTACCATAATGCTTGTTGCTTGATTTTTATTTGCTAGAGCCAAGGAAGAGAGTACAGTAAGATTTGCTGCATAAGAGTGGATTACATATGCATCTCGTATTTGCAATTTCAATTCTAGTATAGTTATACCAGCTTAATCAGATTATTTCCAACATATCAGAAAGAAAATAACAAGAAGACATCAGAAGCAAACTAAGGTTGCAATTGAAATTATCTCAGTAAATGCCTGGCCAACAAAGGCTGCAAACAAAACTTAACTCTTGAGCAGTCCGGCAACTTCTAAAATCTGCTTTAACACCTTTCCCCCTATTTTTAAAAATATAAAATGAAAAGTGACACACATGTTTAAATAGAGATTGATAAAAAGTAGACCACCTGAAACATCTTGTGAAAGAGATATGATTCCTATCTGAATTTAAACATATGACTTGTGCATTTCCTATTTCTGTTGCAAAGGTGGGAGAAAGCCAAGCTCATCATGCCAAAACTTCTCATTTTAATGTTACGCTTGTGTGCAGCCTCAGTCCCAAGAATGTTTTCACCTTAACCTCTGTAGGCTCTTAGGGAGTTCCCGAAGAAATAAACTGGGTGTTGATTCAGTTCAGAGCATCTGCAAGATCAAAATCTGCAGCGACTGGCTGGATAGCGACTGCAGCTATTTCTTCGGGTTCGGCCACATCTCCTTCACTAGGTAGAAGATCTTCAAGCACAAGGTCTCCGGGGTCTGGGAGAGATGTTGGAGAAAGTATAATAGGTTTCCAAGGTTTTCCTGGACATTTTGGAGCAGGAGGTTCTGGCAGATCTGGCAGTCGCTCAAAAAGAGATAGCGAAGGTATAATGCTGTCTTGGGATGGGAACCCAACAGACTCTTCACCTGGACTTCTTGCTGTAGTATCTTCTTGCTCCAGAGGGTTTGCAGTACTAGGTATATGTAAGCTTTCACTGTGTTCGTTTGCATCTTCCTGTAAATCCTCAGAAGACTTAGGTTTGGTTTTTTTATGGCCATGTCCACATACTTGAGTATTTTCCTCAGTAACCACTCCAGCACTTCGGAAAGGGGTGAAGCCGGGAGGCCTCCTCAAAAGTGCCTAAAAAGCCAGAGTAATATGCTTACTTAGTAACTTGAAATTTCTAAAACCACCCTAGAAGTCAAGAGTATACAATAACATGCAAAAACAAAACAAAACAAAAAAAACCAAAAAAAAAAACAACACACACACACACACACTTAAAGTAACCCCCAATCTAGAATGGAAATGTACATTGTGAAGATGTGTCTTGTTTAGATTTAATTTCAGTTTAGCAGACCACATTTTATCTTCTGCCATAATCCATAATTATTACTGGCTGAAACTGAAAGCTATATCAGATCAAAAATCTGTCAGTTTGTGGTAAATCACCAGCCTTTTGACCAGAGATTCTTGGCCTTTGGTTTAAAACTTTTTTAAAAAACTCTCCCAAATTCTCTCCGTCGTTCCTTGAGCTCAGCTATACTATATTTCTCTTTTTCTAGCATTTGGGACTACAACTTCCTGAATCCTGTAGCCATCATACTTGCTAGCTATACTTGACTACTTTTCCAAGTTCTTACTTCCTTCCTTTCTTTTTTTTAAGTCTTCCTTTTGCTATATTCGCTATTTTGAACATGGTGCATATTTGGTGCTTTTATAAATAACTATATATGATCATTATAATTAATCAAGGCACCAATGACCATGATAATAGTAAACTCAGTTTGTAGCAATAATTGTGCAGAATTGCAGTGAGCTATAGAGATAAGCAGAATGCTTGCTGGTTAAAAGCTGAACTTGGGAAGGCTTCTTTAAAAATTAATTAATTACTATTATGGATCCAAGGTCCCTAGAGTGACAGTGATTAAAAAGTTACCTTTTTATTTAAAAAAGCAAGGGAATGTTACACCTCAAAAACAATATCTGAATGTTAAAAGTTCCTGCTCTATAATTTGAAATTTACCTAGCTAGTGAGGCCCACATATCTCATGTAATTACAGTTGTTGTTGTTGTTTTGTTCCTTCAACTCATTTCCAAATCACGTTGATCCCAAGGTGGCATTTTGCTTCTCTCTGAGGCTGAGAGACTGCGACCTGGCCAAGGTCACATAGTGGGTTTACATGGATTTGAACCCTAGTCTCCATAGGCAGATTCCAGGATTCAAATCACTGCACCACACAGGCCCTATAGGGAGCCTCAGTGGCGCAATCAGTTAGACCCTTGTGCTGGCTGAACTGCTGACCTGAAGGTTGGCGGTTCAAATCCATGAGATGGGTGAGCTCCCATCTGTCAGCCCCAGCTTCCCATGCAGGGACAGGAGAGAAGCCTCCCACAGGATGGTACCATATCCAGGCGTCCCATGGGCAACATCTCTGCAGACGACCAATTTTCTCACACCAGAAGCAACTTGCAGGATATTCTCAATTTGCTTCTGACATGATAAAAAGTGGCCTTATATAGCCACAGAACTGTTGAAATGCTAGCAGAATTTAGCATCTTTTTGTGCTTTGATAAAAACAATTTCTACTCAACACTGTCCTGTGGTAAACTCACAATGCAGCCAAAAGCTTTTGTAGAAGCTGTTTGGTGGTCAGTTTAATCTGAATCTCTGCGTTTTTGTTCTTCATGAGATCTTCACCATGGACTGCTGTACATTCTCCACTTTAATTCTAGGACATGGATTAGTTTCATCCCTAACTCTTTAGGAACAGATCTTTCTTGAGTTACACATTACCCATTATGTGCAGTGCTCCAGGGAGCTACATTTGGATGTGGGGAGACTAGGAAAGGTGCATTTTCCTACCGTGTTAAATGCTTTCTCCGTGCATTTGAATGTGACTGCAACCTCGCTTTTCGGCTGCCAAGGCTTCTCCCATACAGAGCTATAGCAGTGCAACGGTTCCTGTTTCCAAAATTTAGCACAAACAAAATACGAAACAAAATGAAGGCATCTAATAATAAACGAAACTCTGACATGAAAACTTGTGGGATCTTTCTATGTCCATGTTGGACACGCTCTTCATTTCTTTTCTTCCTTCATAACAGAGTTTTAAAAAACACCTTAATGATCTCAGTATAGAAATTCTGTACAGCACCATTGTTTCTAAAACAGCTCTTAAACTATTTCTGTAGTAATTTAACATTAATAAAGTCAAAAACAGGTTTTCTTATGAAACAATTGCAGACTTCCAAAACCTTGCAATTCTGTAAGCATTTAGTGTGGTAAAACATATTACGACTCAAGCCTTAGACATTAACATCCTTCGACAATGAAAGTCTACAGTAAAGCAAACGGGATGTTACTTTGTTTATTGTTCCAAAATGCTCATTTGTTTTACAGCCAGCTATAATAGATTTTTTTTTCTGTGAAGGGGAAATAAATGTAATTCAGTTAAAATAATATTTATTTATTTATTTACAACATTTATATGCCACCCTTTTAATAGAATCGAAGAATCAAAGAGTTGGAAGAGACCTCATGGGCCATCCAGTCCAACCCCCTGTCAAGAAGCAGGAATATTGCATTCAAATCACCCCTGACAGATGGCCATCCAGCCTCTGTTTAAAAGCTTCCAAAGAAGGAGCCTCCACCACACTCCAGGGCAGAGAGTTCCACTGCTGAACAGCTCTCACAGTCAGGAACTTCTTCCTAATGTTCAGATGGAATCTCCTTTCTTGTAGTTTAAAGCCATTGTTCCATTGCATCCTAGTCTCCAGGGCAGCAGAAAACAAGCTTTCTCCCTCCTCCCTATGACTTCCTCTCACATATTTATACATGGCTATATCTCCTCTCAGCCTTCTCTTCTTCAGGCTAAACATGCCCAGTTCCTTAAGCCGCTCCTCATAGGGCTTGTTCTCCAGACCCTTGATCATTTTAGTTGCCCTCCTCTGGACACATTCCAGCTTGTCAATATCTCTCTTGAATTGTGGTGCCCAGAATTGGACACAATATTCCAGGTGTGGTCTAACCAGAGCAGAATAGAGGGGTAGCATTACATCCCTAGATCTTGACATTATGCTCCTATTGATGCAGGCCAAAATCCTATTGGCTTTTTTCCCCGCCACATCACATTGCAGGCTCATGTTTAACTTGTTGTCCACGAGGACTCCAAGATCTTTTTCACACGTACTGCTCTCGAGCCAGTCATTGTCCCCCATTCTGTATCTTTCCCCGAAGGGAACTCAGAGCGGCTTACAAGTAGTATGTGCATACAATATATTATATTATTACCATAGCACAATATTAGTATTATATATTACTATATTGTACTATACCATTATACTGTAATATATTATTAATAATAGTTGTTGTAATAAGTTAAAACGTATTACAACAACTATCACAAGTTGACTGTGTTCCTTGAATAGTACTGAAAAGATAGTGCTGTGACATTATGAAGAGTCTAAGGCTGCAATCTTATCCATACCCTATCTATATTAACTTATCTATACTTATTTGGGAGTAAGCTTCATTGAACACATTGGGACTTACTTTTGAGTAGATGTATACAGGATTGCACTGTAACCCTGTACCCATCTACCTGGAAGTGAGTCCTGAACTCAAGAGGACTCTGTCAATAGACAAGCATAAGATTGCTGTGCAGAAAGGTTTAAATGAAAACAGAAAAGCTGTATGGGAAGTAAAATCTGAATTATTAAGAATGCACATTTCACTGTGGCATTGAAAAAAATCGATTTAAACTTAATTTCAGCTCTTTGAAATTTGGAATTACTAAGTCACTTACACTATTTTCCTTTGCGATACAGTTTTCATCAAGTCCATGAACTTCAGCATTGGAGCAATTTGTCTCTATGATTTGGAACTCAATTCGATACATTATTCCAGACACAATCTGAAATCCAAGCAGAATGATTATCAACAATGTAACCCAATATATGTCTGTTCTCACATTTCTTAGTGATAGCACGGGAATAGCACAGGGGTGTCTTTTGAGTGTGCAAGTAAATGGTTATAGCAACATATGATTTGTTTTGAAGCTATTTGTTTGGTTAGCTTTCTTGAGCCATCTCTCTGACTCTGTGCTGATTTGCTCCAGATGCTGCAAAGTACAACTTCCAGGTGGTGCAGTGGGTTAAAGTGCTGAGCTGCTGAACTTGCTGACCGAAAGGTCGCAGGTTTGAATCCGGGGAGCGGCATGAGCTCCAGCTGTTAGCCCCAGCTTCTGCCAACCTAGCAGTTCGAAAACATGCAAATGTGAGTAGAATAGGTACCGCTCTGGCAGGAAAGTAACAGCACTCCATGAATTCTGACCTTGGAGGTATCTATGGACAACACTGGCTCTTCGCCTTAGAAATGGAGATGAGCACTAACCCCCAGAGTCGGACACAATGGACTTAATGTCAGGGAAAAATCTTTACCTTTACAACTTCTAAAACTTCCAAAATCCCCCAAAGACTCAACTTTTGTTATTATGGGTTGTCAGTTTTTTGTTATTATGAGTGTATTGTTGTTATGTTCAGGCACTGAATGTTTGCCTTTTATGTTTGGAATCCTCCCTGAGTCCCTTCAGGGAGACAGGGTGGAATATAAATAAAGTTGTTGTTGTTGTTGTTATCTTATATGTGAATTTTGGAAGTTTTTCAAAAGAAAAAAAGGGGAATATTTCCAACAGAGCAGTTTGGGGTAGCAAGTTGAGTGTTGGATTGGGACACCGGGAGACCAGGGTTTGAATACCTGCTCAGCGTTGGAAACCCACTGGATTACCTTGGGCAAATCACGCTCAGCCTGAGAGAAAGGCAATGACAAACCCCTTCTGAATAATATATTCTGATGCTTCTTTAAATAAAGGGCCAGCCTCTGTAAAACATGGCACTTGGCCATTGTAAGCAGGCTAAAATAAACAAACCACAGCAGTAGTAAACACAACCCAAAATGTGTCTCAAAAGTTTTAAAGAGGTGCCTCTGTTTTATTTTTATTTTTATAAGAGAATGTGACAAATATATTTCACCCCAAATAAAACACTTAACATTCAGCCCATAATCTAGTCTTCTTTTCGTTTTGATTTCTAATGTCATTACCAGAAATGTTAATATTTAATGAATGCTAAACATCATCAAGCCCAGAAACACAGGGTCAAAGCTTAACAATGTAAACCCTTAAAACTATTCCTTGCTGAGGGCTCTTTCACACTACACAGTTATCACCTTAATATTCAACAGGGTCCCTATCTAAGCCTGATTTTCTAAACAAAATAGAACAGGTGCATCAGAATTCAAACCTGGACTGTTGCTTTGGTCACTTTGGTAATTCTGTATAAGAATCCATCACTGCATTCTGTGTTATATTTTTCAGCAACAGCTGCCAATGGTTCCTTCAGCTGTGGGCTGTCCGATGGAATGACTCTTGTGCAACCAGGACAATTTTTCTTTGTGTCTACTGTAGGAAAAATCAGAAATATTATATTTTGTCAAAGTGTAAAGATTTTGCATGATTTACAGTCTGTTTTGAATTTCATGCTTTTTTTCATTATTTATTTATTTCACCTCACTACCTCTGAGGATGCTTGCCATAGATGCAGGCGAAACGTCAGGAGATAATGCCTCTAGAACATGGCCATATAGCCCAAAAAAACCTACAACAACCCAGTGAGTCCGGCCATGAAAGCCTTCGACAATACATTTATTTATTTATTTCTGGCATTTATATCCCATCCTTCTCAACCCCCAAGGGGGGACTCAGGATGGGTTACATTTGGCAACAATTCGATGCCATATATACAAACGAAAAACAATACAGCAATAGTTTAAAACAATAGATAAATCATTAGGTTAAAAGCAATTAAAACATTTGTCAACAGTCCAGTTCAATTCCATAATTTGTCAAAACCATAAGCCATTCCACTTCAGTTCCATAACCAAGTGCTGCTACATCCGTTGTCCAAAGACCTGGTCCCAGTACCATGATTTCAGTTTTTTCCTGAAAGACAGGAGGGAAGAAGCCGACCTGATCTCGCTGGGGAGTGACTTCCACAGGCGGGGGGCCACAACCAAGAAGGCCCTGTCTCTCGTCCCCACTAAATGAATTTGCAAAGCTGGTGGAGCTGAGAGCAGGGCCTCTCCAGATGATCTTAAACTGTGGGGTGGGACGTAGAGTGAGATATGTTCTGACAAGTAAGCTGGGCTGGAGCCATGTAGAGCTTTATAGGTCAACACCAGCACTTTGAATTGTGCTCAGAAGTGGACCGGCAGCCAGTGAAACTGACATAACAGGGGGGTGGTATGCTCCCTGTATGTTGCTCCAATTATATGGATCCTTTTCTCAAAGTTCACTTGTATTGAAACCCATCATTTGAGGTGTGTTCCATGCTATTTAGAACACTGTTACATGGTCTGTCGTCACTTCATAGACATTGGTATGTACATCCAGTGTCGCTAATGTTAGGTTGCCTTACCCCAGATCATCCCTGAAGCAGTAACTTCTGTATATACTCTAGTAGAAGCCTAGTTTTGCAGCCCTTTTTTAAGGCTGAAAAAAGTCCCTCTCGGTTTATACTTGAGTCAAGATTATTTATTGTTCAATTCTGTTGTTGTTAAAATTATGTAAATGTAATAAAAATAATAACAGAGTAAAAGAATAAATGTAATAATAATAATAATAAATAGAGTAAAATAATAAATATAATAATACTGTATATACTCGAGTATAAGCCTAGTTTTTTTAGCCCTTTTTTAGGCTGAAAAAGTCCCTCTTGGCTTATACTTGAAGATTATTTATTATTGAATTCTGTTATTGTTGTCTGTTGTTGTTGTTGTTGTTGTTACATTTATCATTTTACTCTTATTATTATTACATTTATTATTTTACAGTCATTACTGTTATTATTACATTTATTATTTCACTGTATTATTATCATCATCATCATCATCATCATTTAATAACTTATTAATCGCCCTCCATCCAAGAATGCTCCAGGCGATTTACAGCTAAATTACAAAAGATAAAATACATACATACAAAAATTAAAAATCAACAGAGATCGAATGCTCTAGTAAAAAGCCAGGTCTTAAGTGCGAGAGTAAAAGGCCCTAAGTCACGCATGGCTCTCATGTAGGGCGGCAAGGAATTCCACAAGGCAGGGGCAGAAATAGAAAAAGCCCTGCGCCTGGTCCTTTCCAAGTGCACTTCTCTAGGACCCGGTATATGGAGTAAGTCACGTTGGGCTGGTCGTTGCGACCTCCGATGATGGGAGAAGGAGAGGCGGTCCCTAAGGTACGATGGACCCTGGCCGTAAAGAGTTTTAAAGGTCAGAACTAGCATCTTATACAGGCCACGGTACTCAGTTGGAAGCCAATGTAAATGTTGCAGCACTGGTGTTATATGGCATTTCATGGGCGTTCTTGTGAGTAACCTGGCTGCCGCATTCTGAACAATACGGAGCTTTCGGGTCGTAGACATCGGAAGGCCAACATACAGGGCGTTGCAATAGTCCAGCCTAGACGTGACCGTGGCATGGATGACAGTTGCCAGAGCCTTGTCAGATAGGTAGGGTGCCAGTTGCCTCGCTTGTCGTAGATGGAAAAAGGCCTGTTTGCTGGCAGCAGCGACCTGAGCTTCCATTGTCAGCTGTGAATCCAGCATGACACCTAAGCTCTTAACAGTGGTTGATGGAGATAGGGCGGCACCATCGAAGGTGGGTAATGGAGGAGTCAGACCTGCCAGAGAATCTCAGTCTTCACCGGGTTCACCTTCAGTCTGCTAGCACGTAGCCAGTTTGACAGAGCTTCCAGACATCGGGTGAAATTGTCTGGAATTGACGTTGCTCCAGGCTCCAGGCGCAGAAGGAGTTGGGTATCATCTGCATATTGGTAGCAGTCCAGGCCGAAACTCCGAGCCAAACTAGCAAGGGGTCTAACGTAGATGTTGAAGAGGAGAGGAGAGAGAATTGCACCTTGGGGGACCCCACATAGGAGGGGGGATCTATCGGAGACTTGATCCATGTACTCCATGCATTGACTCCAGTTCCAGAGAAATGAACTGAACCAATTGAGGGCCTGACCACGAACTCCGGACATGGCAAGACGGTGAATCATTAGACCGTATTGGAAGGATACATAAGCACATTTCCATTGAAGAAGGTTAGAATTATGGTTTAATCAGAGTTGGACAGTCTTATCTTAAATTACAGTTTTATGCAAATATTCAAAAAACATTTAACCTTTTGATGCCTCAGTTAATATAATTGTATTGGTATCTATTTATATTTTGAAATTGACCAGTTGCTGCTGCATTTCCCATCCCTTGGCTTATACTCGAGTCAATCCATTTTCCCAGTTTTTTGTGATAAAATTAGGTGCCTCGGCTTGTATTTGGGTCGGCTTATACTCGAGTATATACGGTAATCTGGAGTGATGAAAATTCTTTGTTCTCGAATGTCTGTCTTAAGAAATCTGGAACTGCATTCTGAAATTCTGCCACTAGATGCCAGTATTTCTTACTTATTTCTGTGTTGTTGACTGATCAAGTTAACGTTGACTTATGACCATAACAGATCATGCTGATAAAATTAGTTCCTAAATACGTTATTCTGGCCAAACACCACACGGACATGACGTATACTACAGATAACTGTCCCTAATCCCCTTGAATTGAACATAGTCATATATTTGGGTACAGTTAAAGAGCCGTTGTGGCAGCAATACCCTTATTTCCAGCATCCACTTTTCAGAAACATCTGTGTGCAAGTTGCATGTCAATTTGGAGTGAGTTCACAAATTTCATAGACCCAGAAGTGGTTTTGTCAATTCCTTCTTCTGAATTATGGCCCGCAGCACCTACTATTATTGATAATCTCTCACCCAATTACTAACCAGAACTGAGTCTTACTTAACTTTCAAGATCAGATGGAATCCCCAAAATATTAATGAAATTCAATTTGCCTACTTTTTAATTACATCTTCCCTTGACAACTTCTCATATAATCATTCAAAGGCAAACATTTTCAATCTGGCATCCCCCAGATATTTTGGAATGATAGCTTGGACTGTTGATTGTTTTAACTGTAGTTCCCAGAGTGCCCAACCCAGGATGGCCAGTGGCTGTGTTATCTCAGGAAATCTGGATGTTGTACTCAAAACGTAACATTTCTGAGCTTTTAAATCCTATAAATGCCATCAGCCCCAGACACAGCGATTAATAGCGATGTTATCTGGAAATGGTATGGATTTGGTGAGTGCCAGATTAGGCAAAGTTGTGCATAGGATAGCCATACATTGGACTTCAAATTCCATCATCCCCAACCACTGTCTGGAGGTTATCAACCCTGATCTAAAGCTTTCTAAGGGTCCTTCCACACAGCCCTATATCCCAGAATATCAAGGCAGAAAATCCCACATTATCTGAGTGTGGACTCAGATAACCCATTTCAAAGCAGATATTGTGGGATTTTTTGCCTTGATATTCTGGGATATAGGGCTGTGTGGAAGGGCCCTAAGCTTTTAAGGGAAGAGTGGGGAAATATCCATCTATATAAATAAAAATGTAATGTTCGTTTGTGGGATTAGCAWAACTCAAAAACCACTGGACGAATTAACACAAAATTTGGACACTATACCCCTAACAGACCAACAAGTGACCATCACTCAGTGRAAAAAGACTTAAAAAACCCCAAAAGYGAAATGTCGAAAAGCTAAATGACAATACAGGAAAAAAGGGAAGGAAGAGGGAGGGARGGAAGGAGAGAAAGAAAAGAAGGAAAGAAAAGAAAGGAAGAAAGGAAGAAAGAGGGAGGGAAAGAAAGAAGGAAAGAGAGAAGGAAGCATGGAAGCAAAGAGCGAAGGAAGGAAGGAAAGAGGTAGAGAAGGAAGGAAGGAGAGAAAGTGGAAGGAAAAGAAAAGGGGGTAGGAAAGAAAGAAAGAGAGAGAGAAGGAAGGATGAAAGCGAAAAGCGAAGGAAGGAAGGAGAGAAGGAAAGAAGGAAAGGAAAGGAAAAGAAGGAAGGAGCGAAGGAAGGAGAGAAAGTGGAAGGGAAGATTGGCCACAGAAAACTGTGGCCAATCCCYCCAAAAGTATGGAGAGAGACACTTCTCTCTCCCCAAAAAGTGGAAGGAAAAGAAAAGGGGGGAGGAAAGAAAGAAATAGAGAAAGAAGGAAGGAGTGAAAGAAAGAAAAAAGGAAAGGAAGGAAAGAGAGAGTGAAGGAAGGAGGGAAAGGAGGAGAGAAAACGGGAGAGAAGGAAAGAAAGAAGGAAGGAAGGATGAAAGGAAAAAGCGAAGGAAAGAAGGGGAGAAGGAAAGAAGGAAAGGAAAAGAAGGAAGGAAGGAAGGAAGGAAGGAAGGAAGGGACGAAGGAAGGAGAGAAAGAGGAAGGGAAGATTGGCCACAGCAAAGTGTGGCGGGAACAGCTAGTTATACAATAAGAGACACCTCTCTCTCCCCAAAAACTGACCAGATAAGTGTGATTTTCCCAAGGCACTCACAGCATGTATCAGTTAAGCGAATAGCAATCACAAACCTTCAAGTTCGCACTTTTGTTCAACATTCACAATTGTGTTTCTAAAGTCCACATAGCTTTCGACATGGCAGCTGCCTACATGCTGGAAGGGAACAAAAACACAGGCAAAAGAGAGATGAGGAGAGTGTTGAATCTTGAACACAAAAGCAAACACTCCCTTGTGGTATTTACAGGTCAAACTTCAAATGGTGTCTTTCATACTAACAATAACAGCACTTCAAATCTGCCATGGCTCACCTTTGTGATTTAACACAGGGCATTTAGCATTCTGCAACAGAGAATGTTAGTACCTTACTAAACTACAAATTCCATGATTCTATAAGATACAGCCATTTAAAGTGGACTGGAAGTGCTATATGTGTAGTGTGAACAGTACTTGTCAGAGTTAGGAAAATGTGTGTGTGTGTGTTTTTTTAAAATGCAGCTTACAGAATTCCTCAGCCAGCATGGCAAATAGTAGTAATTAAAGAGGAAAAAGCGAAATCTAAGACCCAATGTGATGTGTCTGAAGTTGTGGTCAAAAAAGTAACTTTTTAAAGTTCCTCAGAGATCAATGAAAATACTTTTTTGCTGATCCCCTTTGGACCGCCTGTTTCTAAAGGAACAAAGGCATCCTGCATTTCTTTCTTTAGAAATACTTAACCCATCTTTTCAGATCCATTTGGCCAGTTTTGTGGATAATGCATACTACTGGGAATGATTTTTAAAGGCATATCCATTTTTCTTGTGTTGTTTTTCTATTGTTAAATTGGTCTTTGGCCACAATTAAGGTCAGTTTTGTGCATTCTTCCTGATCCTATGTGTCTCTATATTCTTTTGCGTCTGCAGAGATCATGCTGTCTGGGTACTGTCATGGATTGAAGTCTGAAACATCTGGAGGGCAGCAGATTGAGGCAGAACGGGCAACGGTGACAGGCAGCAATAACTCTCCTCTCTGAGCAACAGGAGGTGTGCATAAATAATATATGTGTGTTTGGCAGGAAATCATTCTTTGCTAGAAGAGAAGGATTTTTTTTTTCTGTTTGCTGGAAGAGCCTCAGGTAAGAAATCCCAAGAGAACTGTATAGTCTTCATATTATTGAAATTAATTTCCCAGCAGCATAAGAAGAGTGGGAGATGTAGTCCCTAGACGTCTGAAGACTGAGCCCCCAGTGGCGCAGTGGGTTAAACCCCTGTGCCGGCAGGACTGAAGACCGACAGGTCGCAGGTTCGAATCTGGGGAGAGACGGATGAGCTCCCTCTATCAGCTCCAGCTCTTCATGCGGGGACATGAGAGAAGCCTCCCACAAGGATGATAAAAACATCAAATCATCCAGGTGTCCCCTGGGCAACGTCCTTGCAGACGGCCAATTCTCTCACACCAGAAGCGACTTGCAGTTCCTCAAATCACTCCTGACACGACAATAATAATAATAATCTGAAGACTGTGCAATCTCATCTCCACAATTGAACTGTGGGGTCCCACTCATATGGAACCAGAAAATATCAAAATGGTAAGACTGTGAGCTGTCCACTTATGCCTAGTTCGAAGTGAGTGAGCCAGCTTAGTTGAGTGGTCTGAGTGTTGGACTATGGCACTGGAGACCAGGATTCACGTCCCTGACCAGTCTTGGAAATCTGTTGGTGATCTTGAGCAAGTTCCACTCTCTCAGCCTCAGACAAATGCAAAACCTACCTCGACTAATCTTGCCAAGAAAATATGCGGCATACACTCATATTTCAATATGTATAAAGAGAATCACTTACACCTTTTGGAAGGATTTTGCACGTTTCAGAAGGAGCCATATTTGCAAAATCAACTTTGGAACAATTTGTTTCTTGAATCCAATATTCAAACCTGTATTTCCAGCCAGCAACCACCTAGAAGAGTTGTTTAGAAGAGGATGCAAGTGAGCAACTAAAATACCTTATTTCTTTGGTGAGTTCAACAGATACTTAGCTACAGAGAAGAAAAAGAAATGGCAGTGTTGGCCTCCTTAACCAGAATTTTGCTACCTCAATGTAATTCTCCTTCAGTCCCCACATTTCTGGTATTGCAGTAACTCCAGACTTTGGTTAAGCATTTAGAAGTAAAATGTAGTCACTAAAAAAAGGAGCTGGAGACATTTAACAAAGGAATGCAAATACAGCAAATATGTGAATTGTAGGTGTGAATAGTTACCAGTGCCTCATTGCCTGCAGTGGTAGACATTTCGGAATTGAAGGAAAATTTAATTGTAAGAAAAGAATTCTTACTGGGGGGGTACTTATTTCCATAGAATCATAGAGTTCGAAGAGACCTTGTGGGCCATTCAGTTCAACCAAGAAGCAGGAATATCACATTCAAAGCACCCCTGACAGATGGCCATCCAGCCTCTTAAAAGCCTCCAAAGAAGGAGCCACTCCCACACTCCAGGGCAGAGAGTTCCACAGCTGAACATCTCTCATAGTTAGGAAGTTCTTCCTCATATTCAGGTGGAATCTCCTTTCCTCTAGTTTGAAGCCATTGCTCCAGTTCCTAGTCTCCAGGGTTGCAGAAACAAAGGCTGCTCCCTCCTCCCTGTGGCTTCCCCTCACATCTTGATCCATGGCCCTCATCATGTCTCCTCTCAGCCTTCTCTTCAGGCTAAACATGCCCAGCTCTTCAAGCTGCTTCCCATAGAGCTTGTTCTCCAGAGCCTTGATCCTTTGAGTCACCCTCCTCTGGACACATTCCAGCTTGTCAACATCTCCCTTCAATTGCAGTGCCCAGAATTGGACACAGTGTGATTCCAGGTGTGGTCTGACCAAGGCAGAATAGAAGGGGAGCATGACTTCCCTGGATCTATTTTAGCTTCCTGCAGCCACCTTTATTAAAGAAAAGGTGTGTATAGAACAGGTTGTATAGCTGCCACCACCAGCACAGATAGTTGTGCTTTGATGTATGGCTTTATAAATGTTGAAAATTTGAGAAGTAGAAAACATGAAGTGCTGAGAAAAGTGAACGTATTCTCTTTTCTACAAAGGTTCCTGGACAACCACCTAAAGCACCCCAAAGAAGCTACTCCCACAACATGAATATGATTCACAACAAGAAGAGATCTACAAACCTGACGTGCAGCATGTACTACTCCCACAGCATCAAAAAGGGGTTGCTGATCACTTTCGTTATTAAAAAGGCTTATGGCATGCCTCAAAATGGGGATCAGCTCCTCGCTTTTACTGCTTATGGTGTGCCAACATCCCAAGCATCTTGCATGGGAACGGGTCACCTTTCCTGGGGCTGAAAAATAAGCAGAGATGAAAGAATATGCCAGAGTTAGGAAGTAACACATCTTCAACATCACTGTGCAGTGTATCAACAGATAAAATAGAAAATACATTTGCTCAAATGCCATAGCCTTAACTGTCTCACTGTCTGCTTACCTGCCTGTCTGTCTGTCTATCATTGTACATGGCACCTAGCAAGTAAAAGAACAACAATGAGTTCTTTGCTCTCTGGTTTACAGTCCAATCCCACAACAACATTTCCTTGGACATAGCTGTTCTCTGATGTTGTTGGATGACAGTTTTCATAAGTCTTAGACAACATAAACAGTGGTGATGGGAAATAGGAGTTGTAGTCCATTTAGAATAATCCATATTGCTCATGGGTGGAGTCCATGAAAGAATACATTATTACTGGGTTGTTGTAGTTTTCCGGGCTGTCTGGCCATGTTCCAAAAGCATTCTCTCCTGATGTTTCATCCACATCTATGGCAGGCATCCTCAGAGGTTGTGAGGTCTGTTGGAAACTAGGGAAGTGGGGTTTGTATATCTGTGGAAAGTCCAGGGTGGGAGAAAGAACTCTTGTCTGTTTGAGGCACGTGTGATGTTTCAATTGGCCACCTTGCAGTTTCAAGATCTGGCTGCTTACTGCCTGGGAGAATCCTTTGTTGGGAGGTGATTAGCTGTCCCTGATTGTTTCTTGTCTGGAGTTCCCCTGTGTTTGAGTGTTGTTCCTTATTTACTGTTCTGAGTTTTTAAAATATTACTAGCCATATTTTGTTCATTTTCCTTGTTTCCTCCTTTCTGTTGAAATTATCCACATGCATGTGGATTTCAATGGCTTCACTGTGTGACATGGGAGTTGTGAGAGTGGTCCAGCATTTCTGTGTTCTCAAATAATATGCTGTGTCCAGGTTGGTTCATCAGGTGCTCTGCTATGTCTGACTTCTCTGCTTGAAGTAGTCTGCAATGCCATCTCCCAACAAAGGATTCCCCCAGGCAGTAAGCAGCCATACTATGAAACTGCAAGGCCATTAAATGGTAATCAAGGTGGCCAGTTGCAACATTTACACCTTCCTCAAACAGACAAGAGTTCTTTCTCCAACCTTGGACAATACACAGATATATAGACACATTTTTCTGGTTTCCAACACACCTCACAACCTCTAAAGATGCCTGCCATAGATGCAGGTGAAACATCAGGAGAGAATGCTTCTGGAACATGGCCATAAAATCCGGAGAACTCACAGCAAGCCAGTGATTCCAGCCATGAAATCCTTCGACAATATATTATTACTGGGGTTGAAGGTCCCTATTGTAATAAGGATTTTCATGAGATTAGGGACACGAGACCTCTGTGATAATGGAAAAGCCACAAATTAAGAATCCATCATTTTTAATCTTTCTTGCAATGTGTAAGTCCTACAGTGTGGCCCTATGGCCACCTTTGAGCAGAAGTTGAGCCATAGAATTGCACTAGGTGGCCTGGAGATTCCCAGAGAGATCATTTTAGTCATATCAACAAATAAGTCCAAAAGTGGCAGGCTCAAACCCAGAACCTCAACCAATGGCTGATACCAAATGAGAGACTCCCCCTTGGGCACACAGAGGACTGGGAGACCTGGAAGGCACTGAACAGACTGCGCTCTGGCACCACGAGATACAGAGCCAACCTCAAGAAATGGGGCCACAAAGTGGAATCCACGACATGCGAGTGTGGAGAAGAGCAAACCACTGACCACCTGCTGCAATGCACCCTGAGCCCTGCCACATGCACAAGGGAGGACCTTCTTGCAGCAACACCAGAGGCACTCCAAGTGGCCAGATACTGGTCAAAGGACATTTAATCAACTACCAAACTCACAAATTTTGTATTTTGTCTGTCTGTTTGCTTTGTTCTGTTAGAAATGTAATATAATTGACTGGTTGCCCTGACATGACAAATAAATAACAAATAAGAGAATCTGCATTAGTTAAATCCACACATGTGGACAGCTGGCATACATAACTCACTATGTGAATCAATGAAAATATTGACACTGTCTCTCTCATGCAGAAAATCCCATACAATAGACTCTGAGGGGCAAGGAATGATTGCTTGTGGCTTACATTTTCTCCAGATACAAGGAATTTCTCAGATTTTGGAACCAGAGTTCCATTTCCCAGTGTTGCACAGATTATATTAGACTTTAGAAACAAACTTTGAAAGGCTCCCTGTAGAAAATGCATCTTAGTAATTTAATACTGAACAATGACATCTAGGTGTCACCATTGCCTTATATGTATGCCTGAAAACAAGCAATGGAAACATGCCGAGGGATAAAATAAATTCAGACATTGATGAAAGAAGGATAACTGAGATGCTTTTGAATGGTGCCATGTTCTCAGTAATCTGAAAGGGATTTGTTCAGACATAATAACATAACCTGCTACAGCACCAGCACAAGATTTATGCATCTCCTCTGGCAGCCCTGAGATGAGTACATAATAAAGTCTCCAAAGGATATTGCAGATCTTCACATCTAATATATATTGATTGTTAAAGAACTGCATTTTCGTCTGATCGTTGCCTATGGGCAGAGTGAGAAACTTCTGTAGGTTTGGGGGTAGTTTTTGTCCCCCTAAGATCCTCCAGAACAGCAATGGGAAACCTGGAGATAAGGGAGTTTTAGGCAACTTTGGACGGTCAGATTCCAACTGAAACCTCTGAAAAATCTCTATTATCTATATTTCTAAATGCCACCCATTCACCATTAGGTTGATCTCACCACATTTATAGTCATTTCTGGGCCATTTTATTTTATTTTTTAACATAAGGAGTTCTGTTAGGAAAAGATGTGGCTGGGAAGGAGATAAAAATATGATGAAATTGCCCCAATGTCATTCTTGACTGTCCAAAAAATATAACTCCTATTTGATTGATTATGAGCCCTGGTGGCGCAATGGGTTACCCTTGTGCCAGCAGGACTGAAGACTAACAGGTCAGAGGTTCGAATCTGGGGAGAGCATGGATGAGCTCCCTCTGTCAGCTCCAGCTCCCCATGCGGGGACATGAGAAAAGCCTCCTACAAGGATGGTAAAACATCAAAAACATCCAGTTGTCCCTTGGGCAATGTCCTTGCAGACAGCTAATTCTCTCATACCAGAAGTGACTTGCAATTTCTCAAGTTGCTCCTGACACGAAAAAAATTGATTGATTGATTGATGATGATGATGATGATGATGATGATTTGACCACCCCAAGGCCTTATGTCTGAGGTCAACAGGAGATACCTCTAATCCACTCAGTTTCTCTTGTTTTAACTGGTCTATTTATTTATTGTAAACAATGTTTTGAGATGCCACAGTATTGATGTTCGTTAAAATGAAGGGTGGATATTCAATGCTGAAAGCAATCCATAAATGTTGCCTTTGGAATTCCCTCTCACTTTACTAGAAATGAGTGATGGATGCAGACAACAGGGTCCAGATGGGTCCAAATAGGTATTTTCATTAAGGCAAACCAACAGGTCGGAGCTTCGAATCTGGGGAGAGCATGGATGAACTGTCAACTCCAGCTCCCCATGCGGGGACATGAGAGAGAAGCCAAGAATGGTAAAACATCAAAACATCCGGGCATCCCCTAGGCAACGTCCTTGCAGACGGCCAATTTTCTCACACCAGGAGCGATTCTGTGGTCAACTTCTGGCAGAAATTCAGTAGGGTTTAACATGCAAAACCAGGGAAGATTTACCCAATGGATCCTATTTTCAGTGTTACATCTTTACATTTCAAGATCTTGTCCCACTCCTTCATAGCTCTGCCTTTCCAAGTCTTATTGTTCTGATTTCCTCTGTCCTCTCCATTCTGATTAATTGTAGAGCCAAGTGGAACCAAGGAATGGGGAATCTTGAACTATTTCAATGTCTTCATCATCTGCTTTGGAGGTACATTAATCACCCGTTGTTATTATTTTTGTATTCTAAATGTTCAACTTTGCATTTTCTCCCTTAACTTTCTTCCCAATGGGTTACATTTCCCAATATTTCCCTATGCTAGTGGGACATTGTGAGAGATGTAGTTCTACCCAACTTAGTGAAGTCTGCATTACTTTTACCAGTATTCCTTGTGATTGCTTTACTATTGAGAATATCTAAGTAAAGGTAAAGTTCCCCCCTGACATTAAGTCTAGTCGTGTTCGGCTCTGGGGAGTGGTGCTCATCGGAATTTCTAAGCTGAAGAGCCGGTGTTGTCTGTAGACACCTCCAAGGTAATGTGGCCAGCACGACTGCATGGAGCGCTGTTACCTTCCCACAGAAGCAGTACCTATTGATCTACCCACACTTGCATGTTTTCGAACTGCTAGGTTGGCAAAGCTGGGGCTAACAGTGGTAGCTCACCCCGCTCCCTGGATTCAAACCACCAACCTTTTAGTCAGCAAGTTCAGCAGCTCAGTGGTTTAACCCACTGCACCACCAGCAGGCCTGAGAATATCTACTGAGCATTAATTTACAATGTACGAACCTGTGGTAATTCTGCATGTTTGGAAAACACTGGAAAAGACTTGACTATCATCGCTGTGAATTTCAGCAGTACACTCTCCTGAGTCCTAGAAGGGGAAACAAGCAAAAGGGTGGTATATTTATCATTTCTCTGCAGTAAGAATCACGTTCCAACTTGTTAATCATGCTCTACCATGCTCATCCAGCTAATTAGCAATAATTAGTATTTTATAAGGTACCTTGCTCACATCTTTTATTTCCTTAATGGATTTTCTCGTTAAGGAAAAGGACAGAGGAAGGCATGAAAAATATTCAGACACCGTCAGAAGTGGAAAAGAACATCAAGGAAAATTCAGGGCAATGTTGTGATGAAACTCTCTGGTAGAAATCCTTTTACTGCTTTACTACGCTTTCTCCTGACATTTGACTTTTAACAGATATTTAAAAAAGTATTTCATTTAGTGTGTTGTGAAAGGTTTTCATGGCCAGAATCACTGGGTTGCTAAGAGTTTTCTGGGCTGTATGGCCATGTTCCAGAAGCATTATCTTTCATTTAGGGTGCTAGATCTCCCAGCCGGACTCTGAGGTCTTGGAATCTCTTCTCTAGTTCTCAGGGTGAAGGGGAGGAAACATCGGGTGAAAGCACTGTTTTGAAAAGTATGTATTCATATATTTTTGCTGTTTTTGGAAAATAGAAAGCTATGCTCTGTGTAATTATGGTTATGCTTAATGTGTTCAGTTTGGGCATCGCCAGGAGCTTTCACTTCCAGCATCACTCTTTTAGCATAACCAGGTCTTCTTTCTTGTGATATTGTGAATAGCTATCTCCAACTCTCAAGTTTTGGCCCTAAAATCTTAGAGCCGGAGACAATGCTAACTTGATAGCCTACGTTTGCTCTGTCTATGTTTTATTGCTTTATGATATGAATTTAAGGACTGTACATCAACGCAAAAGCCAGTGTGATAGAATGGTTTGACTGCTGGACTGCATATTTGGAGAACAGGATTCAAATCCCCTTTCGGCCATGGAAACAACTGGACGATCTTGGACAAGTTACATACTCTCAACCTCAGGAGAATGCAAAGGAAAAGATTGTTTGAAAATTTTGTGCAAAAAATAACAATCATAGGTTCGCCTAAGGGCAGTGTTTCTCAATCTGAGGGTCGGGACCCCTGGGGGGGGGAGTCGCAAGAGGGTTTCAGAGGGGTCACCAAAGACTATCAAAAAACACATATTTCTGATGGTCTTAGGAACCCCTTTGGCAGAGAAGGCTGAAGATCTCTCCACTTGCCTTCTCCTCCTTTTTGGAAACAGAAGGTGAATCAACCCACCAAAAGCTCTCCTCCACTGTGATTGGCTGGCCTCTCAGCCAAGGGAAGGGCTGTTTCTAAGACTCCAAGCAGGGAGGGGAGAGCAGGCGTGCTTGATGCATGGCAGCATGGTGCACATGTACAGGCAAGGGAGAGCGTGCAAAGTTGGAGGGAGGCTCACACCAGCGAGGCCCTTCAAGGCATGGGGGTTCCATGTGGGAAGTTTGGCCCAATGTTGTTGTTAGTGGAGTTCAGAATGCTCTTGGATAGTAGGTGAACTATAAATCCCAGGAACCACAACTCCCAAATATCAAGATCTATTTTCCCCAAACTCCACCAGTGTTCACATTTGGGCATATTGAGTATTCGTGCCAAGTTTGGTTCAGATCTATCATTGTTTGAAACCAGAGTGTTCTCTGGAGGAAGGTGAACGACAGCTCCAAAACTCTTGGTCAATGCCCACCAAACTCTTCCAGTATTTTCTGTGCCAATTTGGTTCGATTCCATTGTTGGTGGAGTTCAGAATCCTCTTTGACTGTAGGTGAACTATAAATTCTAGCAACTACAACTCCCAAATGACAAAATCAATCCCTCCAACCCCACTGGTATTCAAACTGGAGCATATCGGGTATTTGTGCCAGATTTGGTCCAGTGAATGAAAATATAATCCTCCTGCATATCAGATATTTGAGTTACAATTCATAACAGTAGCAAAATTACATTTATGAGGTAGCAATGAAAACAATTTTATGGTTGGGGGTCACTACAACATGAGGAACTGTATTAAGGATCATGGCATTAGGAAGGTTGAGGAACACTGCTTTAGAGTTACCATAAGTTAGAAACAGCATAAAGGTACATGTTAACTAACAGGTGCCTTCATGAGAAAGAAGGTTTCCATTATAAAAAATAGTCTTTGATGGCTTTTGACTTTTTTAAGAAAAAAATATCATTTTTATAGTATATCTTGGTATGACTACTTTACACAAATCCAGAGATCCACTGTAGTCCAAAAAATCAGTCTTATATACCACACACACAAAGTTTCTTTTTTATCATCCGTTGTAAGGATGGCAATGTAGATGATACAAATGGGAACACTTTTTGCCATGTGCTTCTTCTAATCACGCGCAATGTTGTGTTGTGCACTGTTAGCCTTCCAGTGCATTTCCCCCACAGGTTTCACATCTGCGCATATACATGCATATGAACTACTTACTCCTTCTGAGGGTGGTAGGAACTCGCAGTTTTGCCAGGAAACGCTTCCTTTGAGAGGACAAGAGGTTTCTGCAAGTTGATACTTGATGAGGAAATTATTGCCAGGGCCTGCCTTGGAAAAAACCCCAAAAAACATTGATATAAGTACATAAAGAGTTTGCAAATAAACTTGAACTCAGTTTGCATCAATTGAAATAAGCAGAGAACAAACAGTGAAACTAATAGGAGGAGAGAAAAATTGGGACGTTTTGAAAGCAGCTGAAAAAGTGGGAGGACAGAGGATTCATTGGGATTGTCCCTCCTCAAACCAATACATTTGGAGTGCTTAGATGTTGCCAGGCTTCTATTTGATATTTTAAAACTATTTTGTATGGCAGGAAGAATGAAGTCCAAATGAAGGTGGGAGCAGAGAACAGAAGAAGAATGAACTAAGGACAACTTGATTCATTGTTACTGATTTCAGTGTTTCAATTTGAGGAAGCCAATTTGATATGTGAGAGGCTGGAGCTGTTGGTCATCCCTGACTCTTTTGGAAAGGCATGACCTATAAGAGACCATAACCCTTTGAAAAACCAGAAATCTCCATAGCCTTTTGGAAACATGACCCTTTGGGAGATTAATTGGCATTCACACTATTTGGAATAATCAGAGCCCTTTTGTAAATTATGATCTTCCTGAGAAGAGTTAAACATTCGTTTGGGTGAATCTTCTCCTTAGTGGTAAATATCCACTAGTATTAATGCAAGGCAAATTAGGAACAAAAATATGACAATGCAAGGCAAATTAGGTTTCTCGGTTGTTAGACTGATATACATGGTTATCTCTCTGAACTGTTAGGAACAAAAATATGACAATGCACAAAATATATAGCAGATCTTCTGAAGTTTTGTTTCAATTGCTCCAGAACATCTACTCTCCCAAAAAAATATTGCTTTTAAATCATTCTCTCAAGAGACCAAAATAGGTAAAAGGTAAAGGCAAAGGTTTCCCCTGACATTAAATCTAGTCGAGTCTGATTCTGGGGGGTGGTGTGCATCTCCATTTCTAAGCTGAAGAGCTGGCATTGTCCATCAACACCTCCAAGATCATGTAGCCAGCAGGACTGCATGGAATGCCGTTACCTTCCCACAGAAGTGATACCTATTAATCTTCTCACAGGTACATGTTTTCAAACTGCTAGGTTGACAGAAGCTGAGCCTAACAGTGGGAGCTCACCCCACTCCCTGGATTTGAACCTCCAACCTTTCAACCAGCAAGTTCAGCAGCTCAGCGGTTTAACCTGCTGCGCTATCAGGGGGCCCAACTAAAATAAGTAGTCTTCATTAAAAGTAACATAGCTGATTTACTTACAAACTTTATATATTCAGCCTACAGGTACATTTCTTATTTGTTCTGACTACACACTGCTGAATACTGATACTAGGAAAAGGTAAAGGTTTCCTCTAACATTAAGTCTAATTGTGTCTGACTCTGGGAGGTGGCACTAATCTCAATTTCAAAGCTGAAGAGCTGACATTGCCTGTAGACACCTCCAAGGTCATGTGGCCAGCATGACTGCATGGAGCGCCGTTACATTCCCGTAGAAGTTATACTTATTGATCTACTCACATTTGCATGTTTTTGAACTGCTAGGTTGGCAGAAGCTGGGGCTAATGATGGGAGCTCACCCTGCTCTCCACATTTCAACCACCATCCTTTGCATGAGCAAGTTCAGCAGCTCAGTGGTTTAACCTGCTGCACTACCAGGGGGCCCCATACCGACACTACTGACTTTTAAACTGTACTGTACTCCTGATGCAAACCTGACATAAAAAGGAGTCTCAGTCTGAATAGTTCCAGAACTGGTCACATGGTCCATAGTCCCTCCCACAACTTCAAACAACCTAGAGTTGAGGTAAAACTGTATATCAATATATATATACAATATAGTAAGAAATCTGAATTATATACATAACAAATAACTAGTGTAGAAGGCTTGTAGAAAGTTGCTATTTCCAACAGACTCGAGCTCCCAGCCTCTCCTGGGCAAAACACCAAAACCCTAGATAGCAATCTTTGATAAACATGGTTTCCCAAAGGTCCAGCTCAAATACTGGAAGGCTAGTTAGGGGAAGTAAGCACCAAGTTTCTTTGGCCCCTGGTGAAGGGAAAGACTCCAAAACCAGCCCCAAGGACAGGATATTCTTCCTAAACCCAAGATCACATCTCAGGTGTGATGTTGAGGAGAAATCCTAAATTCCCATCCAACACAAAATGTTCCAGTATATGTTTCACCAAATCTCAACTTCCCCAACACCTGCTTGGACAACCTGGTTCAAACGACACCACCTTTAGCCAATTGCCTGTATCTCCATGATAGTGTAAAGAAGGTGAAACCCACCCACCTTCGTAAAAGGAGGAAAAAAATCCTACCTGACCTGAAGCAGCCACCATGTCCTGGCTAACTGCCAGGGAAAAATATAATCTATTGTCAAAGGCTTTAATGGCTGGAATCACTAGGTTCTTGTGGGTTTTTTCAGGCTATATGGCCATGTTCTAGAGGCATTTTCTCCTGACGTTTCGCCTGCATCTATGGCAAGCATCCTCAGAGGTAGTGAGGTCTGTTGGAATTAGGAAAATGGGTTTATATATCTGTGGAATGACTGGGGTGGGGCAAAGAGCTCTTCTCTGCTGGAGCTAGGTGTGAATGTTTCAACTGACCACCTTCATTAGCATTTGAAGGCCTGGCTGAGCCTGGGGGAATCTTTTGTTGAGAGGTGTTAAGATGTGCCTGGTTGTTTCCTCTCTGCTGTTTTGCTGTTGAATATCGAAGAAGGGAGACCATGAAAATGAACAAATCTGGCTACCAGTATTAAAAAACTCTAAAATTACAACAGCAAAACAGCAGAGAGGAAACAACCAGGCACATCTTAACACCTCTCAACAAAAGATTCCCAGGCTCAGCCAGGCCTTCAAATGCTAATGAAGGTGGTCAGTTGAAACATTCACACCCAGCTCCAGCAGAGAAGAGCTCTTTGCCCCACCCCAGTCATTCCACAGATTATAAACCCATTTTCCTAATTCCAACAGACCTCACTACCTCTGAGGATGCTTGCCATAGATGCAGGCAAAACGTCAGGAGAAAATGCCTCTAGAACATGGCCATATAGCCCGAAAAAACCCAAAGGAACCTAAAATATAATCTGGTTGTGCCTCTGGATGCCAGCAAACTAATTTCACACTCCTCCACTGCTTTGTAGTGGGGTAACTGGGCTACTTGTAAGGTGTTATTTCCAAAGCAAGGAGTAATACAAAAAGTAAATGGGAATAGTAATGAAATATGTGTTTGTAATGAGTTATGTAATGCATTACTTTTAAAAATCAACTCTCCAAGGTCTTTGTAAATTTAGGTAATGCAAAATTAAAATAACATAACAATGTTATTGTTATTGTTATCATTTTATTCCAGCCTCTCCCTATGGATCATGGTGCAGAACAGAACCAGGTTAAAACACAACACACAAAACCAGTTAGAAATACATAATATCAAGCTATATTGGAATCAGTAACACAGTTGCATTATTCTGGGGTTTTTTTTAAGGGCAGAAGAGGGAAAAGATATATATTTTTCTCTCTGCTATGGTGCTAGAACTAAGTGAGCATTTGTGGTGCCATGTTCAACAAATTGTCCCGGTAATGGCTATGGAATTTCCTCTTGTGCCACAAGTTGATAATCTGAAAGGTTCCTAAATATGACCTATACATAGATTATGATTTTTTTTGTACTTACTGTCCTACGGGCTGCAAGGATCACCCTTAGTGCAAATAGGTTCCCATCCTTTTGGTCTTCATTATGTGCCTTCACTGCTAGGTCCACAGCACTGAAGACGTCAGGGCTGTTACAGTCGGCATCTTCACCTTCGAGAGGCACAGCTTGGCAACAGCAAAAAGTGAGGACTAACAGAACAAAGAGTTCCATAGCTGGGCAAAGATGGTCCCTCTGTAACCTGGGAATTAAGGATGAGTAGGTTCCTCAAAATACTAATGGGGCAATCTCTTCTTGGTGGACTCAAAATGCACCGCTCTTGTTCTCACGAGATGGCGGAAAAACTAAAAGCGGTCAGCAGGGCTTGATGGACACGTCTCATATCCTGTGTGCCGTGTAAATAACCCTTTGGCTTTATCCAAACATCTCTCTCTCTCTTTTTTTTTTACCCTAGACTGTTATGACATCGAGTTTGTCCACCTGCCCTTCATGTTACAGGACAAACCTTGGTATGTCACGGTCAGAACGTAGCCTGCCAAATCATGGTCACATGTTGAAAATTGTCAAATTTTTCGTAGATTAGTTGATTTCAAAATTTGTCATGCAAACGAACATAAAGGATTTAGAGCCCAACTCTTTATCTAACTGGTTGTCTGTCGATCTGTAGTGTAACTTGAGAAAGTTACTCTTTTGGATAACAACTCTTAGAACCTCAGATAGTATTTGTTTAAAAAAAACTTTTCCAAGCTTCGGGGATTCAGAAAGCACGGCTGGACTTCGGTTCCCTTATGCTCCATAGCAAACTTGTTGTGATCTGCAAACAGCACTCTAGCAACAAAATTTCTAACATCTTATACATGCAAGCCACAAAGTGAATGTTACTTATACCTCAGATTCAGACCTATTTAAGGGCTGGAATAATGTTTTCTGTAAAATGCTCACATTCAATTCAAGATTGCAAAAACTGAGTTGTATATGTGGTGTCATTGGGCATGCAGTTATGCCTGTGATGTTCATTGGATGTGCATGCAAGATATATGTGCATTTGGTTGCAATATTGGGTGTGCTCTCTGTTGTGCAACCTTGTTATTCAATATGAGAACTGCATAACACAATGCCTGGTTTGTGCTACACAACTCTTATATGGAATCACAGCCACCTTGTTAACATTGATAAGGAACAACTGTATAGTATTATAGAGGACCTGGAACTTAAGGCTCTGTTCCAATACCCATAAGGGAAGTTTGCATTTTGCTCTTGCAGTCTTCAAAGGAATTGGTTTCACAAGTCATGACAGAAATAGGACCCAGGGAGCAGTCAGTCTAGTATGAATGCTTTGCATTGCGTAGAATCTGTTAAGCATGGCATAAAAACTCTGGTGTGGTCGATACTGCATTAGGTTTTAGACAAAGAAGAGAATCATGCAAATTTTCACAGTCAGGCTTGGCCACGGTGGTCAGACTTGGCCATGGTGGTCAGGCTTGGCCACGGTGGTCAGGCTTGGCCACGGTGGTCAGGCTTGGCCACGGTGGTCAGGCTTGGCCACGGTGGTCAGACTTGGCCACGGTGGTCAGACTTGGCCACGGTGGTCAGACTTGGCCACGGTGGTCAGACTTGGCCACGGTAGTCCATGCTCTCGTTACATCCAGGATAGACTATTGCAATGCATTCTATGTGGGGTTGCCTTTGAAGACTGCTCAGAAGCTTCAAATAGTCCAACAAGAGACAGCCAGGTTAATAACTGGGGTGGCATACAGGGAGCACACAACTCCCATGTTACGTCAGCTCCACTGGCTGCCAGTTTGCTACTGGGCACAATTGGCCTATAAAGCCCTAAACCGCCCTGGCTCAATTTACCTTTCCAAACACATCTCTCCCTATGAACCATCACAGAGATCCTCTGGGGAGTCCCTGCTCTCTGTCCCACCGTTGTCACTGGCGCGATTGGTGGGGACAAGAGACAGGGCCTTCTCAGTGATTGCCCCCAGCTATGGAACTCCCTTCCTGGTGAGATCAGATTGGCCCCCTCCCTCCTATCCTTCAGAAGGATGGTAAAAACTTGGCTGTGGGATCAAGCTTTCGGGACAGGGCAATAAAGCAGCAATAGGAAAGATTACCAGGCCAATTAGATTTGATGCAGATGACCAAGATGGCTTTAAATGATGTATTTTAATATTGAGGTTTATGTATGTGTATATGAATTCTTGTCCCGGCATTGAATGTTTGCCGTATATATGCTGTGCTCCGCCCTGAGTCCCCTTCGGGGTGAGAAGGGCGGAATATAAATGTTTTAAATAAATAATAAATATCCAGGAAACACTTGGCTGTGGTAGAGAAACAGTTTTGGATCAAGACGAGATAGAGAGTTCTTGGGAAGACAATATAGAAGCATGGATAGGCTCTGTACTGTTCAGAGGTCCTTGGAGGCTAAACATGCAATGCACAAACCATTATTGGTTAGCCATCAAGGTGAGATTGCACCCTTTTCTCTTTAGAGGCAGAAGTGAGGCATATTCAACAATGGTTGCGATCATGATGTTATTAATTTGTATGCTGTGTATAAATGTAGGAGTAATATCAGGAAATATATGGTCAAAAGTTAGAAATCTCAAACATAGTAGTCCATCTTGTGCTTAGATTTTGGAATGGTCAGATTAATGGTGCGTCAGCACTGTAGAATTAATGAAGTTTGACACCATTGCTATGACTCAGTGCTATGGAATCATGAGAGCTGTAGTTTTACAAGGTCTACAGCCTTCTCTGCCAAAGAGTGCTGATGATTCACCAAACTACAGATCCCCAGGATTTCATAGCCTTAAGCCATGGCGGTTAAATTGGTGCCAAACTGCAGTCATTCTTAGTATACCCTAAGGGACAGAAAGGAAAAGGTCTGAGAAGCACAGGAGAAAACAATCTGCTATGCAGGCAGAAGGTCCCAGGTTCATCCTCTAGCATCTCCACCTAAAAATGAGAAGACTTTTGTTCTGACTGAAACCATGGAAAGCCGCTACCTATTATTGTAGAATCAATCTTGAATTAAATGTACTGACTTCCACTCCTATGGAATAAACATTGGGTCTTTCAACTTGAAAGCAGTTTGATCTTTCTGGATTACTCTAGAAAAGATACCTGCGATTTCCTGCTTCTTGGCAGGGGGTTGGACTGGATGGCCCATGAGGTCTCTTCCAACTCTATGATTCTATTTTCTGGTTTGAGGATTTTGAGAGTTACAGTGCAAAAGGAATATTTTCCCAGCTCTTTGGCTTGATTGGAGCCACCCCTTGGGTGTAACCTCAGTAAATAAGTGTAATATATACTTGCAACTCTTGTTGTTCTATCAACATCACCTTCCAATCGCTTAACCTTGAGGCCTAGGCATCTAAGGTTAGATCTGTCTACTCTCACCCTCAATGTAGTCTGGTTCTAACAGACAAAACAGAGATTACTAAACCAAACAGGACTTGCAACTCAGGCATATTCTGAAGTGTATTTTCCTTCCCGCAAAATAAACACACTCATAGTATTTTGTTGACATAAAGACTTTATTTTCTATTTTATAGTTTGTGGGAACTGTACCATGTGCCTAATGTCAATGGAACCATCTCTTTATGGAATTACAGGCATTTCTATTTGAAGGCAATGCATTTCATTGGGTAGATCGTGCTGGATATAGTGACAACAATTCTGCAGGTGGATCAAGTTTGGTCTTCCCTGGGCAAGATTTTGATTCTGAAAGAATTTCTGGAAAAGGATGGATAACTGCTACATCATGTATGTGTTTTCCAGGGAAATGAGGCCTCTTGGGCCTTCCATGTGGACGCTGTGGATGGCTAAGGAAATCTGCACCAGGAGCCTGGAGAACATCATGTTGACTCAAAACTGGAATGTAATAGATGGGATCACTGGTATGGTGATGGAAAGGATGGTGGTGTCTGGATGAATCATGATCTTCTCCAGATCCTCTTCCTTGTTCACTTGAGTTGTCATTACACTCGTGATCACGCCGATTCCCATGTCTATGAAACCAGTATGGTGGCGGTGGTGGTGGTGGTCGATGTTCACAAGATATGCCAGGAGGGCAAGGAGGTCTGGGAGGAGGAGGAGGAGGAGGCCCAAGAGGAGGTGAGGGATATCTACTAGGAGGAAAATGATGTGGGCCACCAACAGGTGGAGGAGGGTGATGAGGCCCAGGAGGTGGATGTAACCCCTGTTGTCCTTCACTCGGTTCAGAAGAATTGTGATGGTCTTTGGGCCCTCTAGGGCCATGGTGATCATGGTGAGAAGGCGGTGGACATCTATGCCGATGACCATGGTGGTGGTGGTGAGGATGATGATGATGGTGATGGTGGCGGTGAGGAGGATGGTGATGGTGGTGAGGAGGTCTGCATTCATGCTCAGAGACATTACAGTGATGATGTTCTCTTGAGTCATTGTGGATATGATGATGGAAATGATGCCTGCCATACTATCCATACACAATTCAAAGGAGCACACATGAGAGTGAGAAACAAAGAAAAACTGAGTTACTTCACAAAGTATCTTTACTTCACCTTATCCATATATCTAATTAGCTTTTGCATTGAAGGCAGCTGCTGTACTTCTTAGTCTTTGAACTATGATCTACTGTTATGTGTAGAGTTTACTCCAGTGTTCCTGGGAGGTCCTTTGTATGCACCACTTGTGAACACTATTCTCTGCTTTTCCTGTGTTTCTGAAGCTTGCTTATGTCACACATTTTTGTATCGGTTAGTAGTAGCTACACCCAAGCATGGATGAGATGAGGAGCTAGCACCTTTGCCTTACAGGACTGTTGTGTTTATCAATACAGGCGTTCACAGCTTTCCCCATTTCATGGTCTTTTTTTACTTTAATTCCTTTGGCTCCTGGCCTCGTTCCTGTACCAATGAATCTCTGGATCATCATCATGACTACAAGTGTTTCCACTTGGTTGCTGTTTGCCCTTCTTTCTTAGCCTGAACAGCTGTCTCTATAGAAGTGCCCTGAAATATAGTGTGCTGAAAGTGGTATAACCTGTGGATCCCCAGATGTTTTGGCTTTCAACTCCCAGAAATCTTAACAGCTGGTAAACTGGCTGGGATTTCTGGGAGTTGTAGGCCAAAATACCTGGGGAACCACTGGTTGAGAACCACTGAGCTATGGCTTAGTGAAGCCTGCAGATGCAGCCAATGCTAAAATCCCAATGCTATGGTAGTGGTGGTGGTGGTGAGGGGGAGGATGGGAAGCTAAATTGTAAGTCATGCTTGATGATATTTCATGGGAGTCTATGTCCTCTGTAATCTATGAACTCATTGTCCCGTTCTTGTGATATTGGTTGGAACCAATCAGAAGTAGTGGTAGAAGTAGAAGTAGTAGAAGTAGAACAAGCAGCATTCTAAAAAACGAATTGCTGTCCAGGTCTCTAGAATATAGACCTGCTTGTATAGCTAAGCTTGTAGTATTAGAGATATTGGAATCTTTGTTATTCTATATCATATGATCAATCCCAGTGTAGCTTCTTTATAAGCAAAATGAAGGGTCAGCAAAATGAAGAGCCAGGGACACTAATTCATGGCACAATAGCAGTGGTTCTCAACCTGGGGTCCCCAGATGTTTTTGGCCTTCAACTCCCAGAAAACCTAACAGCTGGTGAACTGGCTGGGATTTCTGGGAGTTGTAGGCCAAAAACATCTGGGGACCCCAGGTTGAGAACCACTGCACAATAGGAATGTATGTTTGGGGTAGCAGCAGCATGGGATTTATTCTACTGCGGTGTATTTTTGTTTCATATGATGATAATCCATTCACCCCATTCCCACACAGTGGATCTAACTTATTTATACATTTCATATTATGCTACTGTAAAAATTATCTTATTATGTTATTGTTGTCATGAATATTATCCAAAACAGAAATAGTAAAAAGTGAGTGTATGTGTTATCTGGAGTATGGTTTAAAAATGTCCATGTGCGCGCCATGGTGTGATTTCACAGTTGCAGAAAACGTAACTTTCCTAACAAAAATAAAACTTTTCTTTAAGGCCTGATTGCGGGGATATTAAATGGGGTTGTGGCAAGTGTGGAGAACAAGGGCTGTTTTAGAATTTTATGCCGGCCCATCCGAAATGATGTCTGGACCTTTGGTTCATAAACTCTGACAACAATGCATATCAGAATCATCCAACAATGTGATGTGGCGGCAAAAATAGCCAATGGGATTTTGGCCTGGATTAATAGGAGATAGTGTCTAGATCTAGGGAAGTCATGCTACCCCTCTATTCTGCTTTGGTTAGACCACACCTGGAATATTGTGTCCAATTCTGGGCACCACAATTCAAGAGAGATATTGACAAGCTGGAATGTGTCCAGAGGACAGCGACTAAAATGATCAAGGGTCTGGAGAACAAGCCCTATGAGGAGCGGCTTAAGGAGCTGGGCATGTTTAGCCTGAAGAAGAGAAGGCTGAGAGGAGATATGATAGCCATGTATAAATATGTGAGGGGAAGCCGCAGGGAGCAGGCTTGTTTTCTGCTTCTTTGGAGACTAGGACATGGAACAATGGCTTCAAACTACAAGAAAGGAGATTCCATCTGAACATGAGGAAGAACTTCCTGACTGTGAGAGCCGTTCAGCAGTGGAACTCTCTGCCCCGGAGTGTGGTGGAGGCTCCTTCTTTGGAAGCTTTTAAACAGAGGCTGGATGGCCATCTGTCAGGGGTGACTTGAATGCAATATTCCTGCTTCTTGGCAGGGGGTTGGACTGGATGGCCCATGAGGTCTCTTCCAACTCTTTGATTCTATGATTCTATGAAAGTGTGAAGGTACTACTCACAGTGGACATAATCATTTCTAAAACTATATCAGTATATTATTTGTTGGGGAACATGAGGGGAACCCTGTTGCCTTCACATCCTGCTTCTGGGTTTTCCACAGGCACTGAGCTGAACGCTATATGAATAAACTCTGGATTAGAGAGACCTTTGGTTGGGTCCTTTGTGACTGCTCCATATCTTTAAAGCACACATTAGCACAGTGGTTTGGAGGAAATACTTTAAGACTGTAGTTACAATTTGGCTTCTCCTGGTGAGTATTATTACAAGACCAGTCATTTGAACATTGTTAGGTGCTGAAAATGGGCATCTGATGGCCTTTTTGCTTTTTTAATGCTACACTGCAAATTGAAATGGGAGAGAACATGTTGGGTGTAGTAATTTGTATTTTCTGCTTGCTAACATTCTCAAACATTACAACCATGTCGGAAAGGGGGAAATGGGGATTGTCACTTACAGGAATATCGTAGATTTCACAAGAGTCTAGTTCAACTTCCTGGGGGTCAGTCGTGTCTTTAATTAATCTTCCTTTGCAGAATCCCACATGCTGCAGAAAAAAGGGGGAAAGTAACATATTTTTGTGAACCAGCCATAGGTGCCACTAGATGGGGTGCCGAAGATACTTTTCCCAGGAGAAACCAGATTACTTATTTCAAAATTTCATCAACAAAGCTTACACAAATATTTGTATTATGGTTGTACGTGGTTATGTGTATATCATGTCCCAGGGGAAGATAAACAGCTCAAATTGCAGGAAGTTTAATCATTAAACATTTCTGGTCCCGGAAGGTCCTTTGGTTCCTTTCCTGGCAATTGGGTCTTTCCTGATGTTCTTTCCTCATCCTTTTGAGGCACTCTTTTGCAGTCATCCGTCCAAGTCTGCTAGTACTGCAAATCAGAAGCTTAAAGCACTCTACAAGCATGCTTTTGTGGCCTGTTTTGTATAGCTGCCACATTTCTGAAGTGACTCCAAGCTAAATTAAATGGTCAATGTAACAATTCCATAACTTTGTTCAACAAATTGTTGCTGATAATGGATGAGATAAAACTCACGATGCATCTACATTGTGGAATTAATGTAGTTTGATATCACATTAACTGATAAGGTTCAACACTATGAAATGGTGGGAATGGTAGTAGTTTTACTAGGTCCTTCAGCCTTCTCTGTTGGCGCTTCAACAAACTTCAATTTCTGGGATGCCACAGCATTGAACCATGGCAGTTAAAGTGGTGTCGCACTGCATTCGTTCTAAAGTGTAGATACACTCTTAGGTGTATTTATAGTGATTGACATCCTACAGATTTGAAACCCAGAGATAGGGATCTCTAGCTGTTTCATATTCAGTAATATTTAGTAACCTGTGTATTCATTATTGTATCGCTATTAGCACAATTGTAAATGCTCCCTCAACCGACCAGCAGCTGCAACAAACAATGGAAGTGTGTTCTACCAGTGATCAAGATGCAGCAGGATGATGTCTTCAGCCCCTCCTGCCAGCAATCAGAAGTAGGACCCCTGACCAATTTATTGCCACACCTCAGATCGCTGACAGGATGAGATTGGAAACATCATTCCACCGAATCCTGATTGCTAGGAGAACAGACCTTTACTGTTTGGTGCAGCTGCTGCTTGTTAAGGTAGGTCGAGGGGTTGGTTCAGGAGACAATACTTAGTCTCCTTAGCTCTCTACTTACTGCGTCTCGGCCATGTAGAAATTCGCATTCTGACACCTGTTTTGCAGCTGTTGTTCGAAGGCAGCTGGTTTCTCTTATGGTAAATTCAACGGTATATGCTGTACGACTGCCGATCTGTATAGGGCAGGAAAGGGGCAAATCAAGAGCATCAGGAAAAATAACTGATATATCAAAGCTCACCTTGCTCATTGTATTTGACAGAGGCTACAGGGAACATGTAAGCAGCTCAACTGACATGGTTACTGCCAATAGAAGTAAAGGTAAAGGCTTCCCCTTAACATTAAGTCATGTCTGACTCTGGGAGGTGGTGCTCATCTCCATTCCTTAGCCGAAGAGCCAGCGTTGTCCATAGACACCTCCAAGGTCATGTAGCTGGCATGACTGCATGGAGCTTCATTACCTTCCTGCTGGAGCGGTACCTATTGATCTATCCACACTTGCATGTTTTCAAATTGCTAGGTTGGCAGAAGCTAGGGCTAACAGCGGGAGCTCACCCCACTCCCCAGATTTGAACCACCAACCTTTTGGTCAGCAAGTTCAGCAGCTCAGCGGTTTAACCCACTGCGCCACCGAGGGCTCCACTGCCAATATACCCTAGGAATATATTTGTTAATCTTGCTGAAATTTTGGCAGTATTCTAATACACACTGGTAAGATTAATCTTTCCTGATAAGAAGGGAGATAACAGGGAAAGCCTCATCAACTTTGTCATTGTTGCTATGTGTCTTCATGACACCTCTGGCTTCATCACATGCAAGATCCCCCCATTTCCACACACTTCTAAAACAGTTCATAGACAAAGCAACATGGATACCACCACTTCTATTGTGTAAGATGCTAACAGGATTATAGCTATTGACATGATATGGCCACCCATAACTGAGTGCCTTTGCATAAATAAATAACTTTATTTATATTCCGCCTTATCTCCCCGAGGGGACTCATCATCATCATCATCATCATCATCATCATCATCATCATCTATATTCACAATACTGAGATTTAAGGTGGCTTCCTTCCTCCTCTTCTGAGCCCCACAGACCTCCTCTTTGCTCTCTTCATATGCTGTAAGGGATATAAACCCTCCTGCCTCACTTTTCTTCATCCTTTCTCCTAGACTATTTTTATGTTAGCCTTAATCTTGAGCACACAGCTTCTGCTAGAAAGTAGTTTTACTCAAAGGGAACACTGACCTTGTTCCCAGTTCCAGTCAAAGGGAATACTGAATTCCACTCAAAGGGAACACTGACCTTGTTCTCAGCATTTGCTCGCAACAGCTAAGATGTTTCCTGACTCTATCTGCATCCCATGGTGGAAGCCTTTCTCATTATCATGTCTGATGAACCCAACTCTTTTTCTCCCTCAGGTTTTTTTTTCCTTAGGTGCCCATGCTATTTACAAAATAGTGCCTTTAATATGCATTTTTGATGAACCTTTGTTGTTGTTGTTGTTCATTTGTTCAGTTGCTTCTGACTCTGTGACCTCATGGACCAGCCCATGCCAGAGCTCAATGTTGGCCGTCACCACCCACAGCTCCTTCAAGGTCAAGCTAGTCACTTCAAGGATCCCATCCCAGCAGTGGCTGGGAGAGCTTTTGCACAATTAAAAYTTGTGCACCAGCTGCGCCYGTACCTTGGGAAGTCGGATCTGGCCATGGTGGTCCACGCTCTTGTTACATCCCGAATAGATTACTGCAACGCGCGCTACGCGGGGTTGCCTTTGAAGACTGTTTGGAAACTTCAATTAGTCCAACGGGCGRCGGCTAGATTACTCACCAGAGCGTCATACAGAGAGCATACCACCTCCCTGCTATGTCAGCTCCACTGGCTGCCGATCCAGTTCCGAGCACAATTCAAAGTGCTGGTTTTGACCTACAAAACCCTTTAYGGCTCCGGYCTAGCGTACCTGTCTGAACGTATCTCCTTCTATGTCCCACCTCAGAGTTTAAAATCTTCTGGTGAGGCCCTGCTCTTGGCCCCGCCTGTATCACAAGTGAGGCTGGCGGGGACGAGGGACAGGGCCTTCTTGGTGGTGGCCCTTTGCCTGTGGAATGCACTCCCCGGGGAAATTAGGTCATCAACATCCCTCCTCTCTTTCAGATGGAAGTTAAAAACCTGGATGAGGGAYCAGGCCTTCGAGTAAGCTGGCAGATGGACAAAAGACAATGACGACCAGAGTAGGAAAGGACAATGACGATGATAGATGGATTATGGATTTAGGAATTGGCGAACATTGACCAYAAGATGATTTTATTGCTGCTACTGTATTGTTTTTTATTGTTTTAACTAGTCATAACTGTTGACACTATATTGTAATTTGTACATTGTATTTTGTGAATTGTTGGGCATCGAATTGTACCTTTTGTAAGCTGCCCTGAGTCCCCCCTAGGGGATGAGAAGGGCGGGGTAGAAGCACCCTAAATAAATAAATAAATAAATAAATAAATAAATAAATAAATAAAATCCATCTTGCCCTTGGTCAGCCTCTCTTCCTTTTGCCTTATATTTTCCCCAGCATCATTGTCTTCTCTAAGCTTTCCTGTCTTCTAAGCTTTCCTGAACGTTTATCCCCTTCCAAACACACATGCTGCAGTATTGTATAGCATTTAATCCTGCATGAAGATGTGCACTAAAGTGAGTCCTATGTATGATTGAATGAATATTTGATTTCGTTCAATGACCAGCATTGATGTATTATTACTATTACATGAAGCCATCTATAACTGGGATGATGCCCTGGCCTGTGAAAAACATGTATGAAATTTCAAGTAGTATCTCACAGATTATGTTGGATAATAATACTGATACTTACTGCCATAAAAATCTTTTGGACTTTCTCCAGCTTGAAGTAGTGTGTTTGATTGCTGTCCTCATTGTATTTCTCCAATAACTTTTGGGCTTCTTCTCTGTAATTTTCTGCATCTTCTAAGACTGTAATTCTCACTGGGCAGTCCTTGCATTCGTATAGTTGTGATGGAACTGTGAAAAGTGTACAGTTGTCAACATTTTCACCCCTCTGGCTTGAAGGCACACAGAAAGGTACAACCCTACTGGTTTATATACACATAAACAAGAGCTAGAACCAATGTGTTCAGACTTTGGCTGTGTTTCAAAGATTTCAACCCAAAATGTTAAAAATTCTAAAGTTTGCAGTTACAAGAGTGATCCAGCATTGTTCTTTAAATTTGTACAATAAATGACCATTTATTTATGTTCTAGGTTGCCAATTTTCATTTACATTGTTTAATCCATTTGATAGTTTGTTCCAGAATTCATCTTGTAAGCAGTGTGGGCCTTCCCAAATGGCAACTTTCATGTATCTGGATGGTGGTTGTAGTGTATCAGCTAGGGCCGGGCTTTAGCACAGCTGATTAATCAGCAGCAGCAATATATCTTACCAATCAAAAGGTTGGCAGTTTGAAGCCCCGGTCAGGGTGAGCACCTGACCTTCAGCCCAGCTTACTGTCCACCTAAGCAGTTTGAAAACAGCTGTGAGCTGCGAGTAGAAAAATTAGGCACCGCTTAAGCAGGGAGGTATTTTACGGCACCATGAAACAAATACCAGGGAAATGCTGACAATCAAAGGAAGGGGGAAATCTGTGATCTTAGTCATAGAGGATGTAGCGACAGCACCCCCCTGTGATTGGATTTGAGCACAACCTCCAGGACGCCAACATTGGGGGGAAATGCCGACATAATATCTCGGTCTGTTGTCTGTCCTGTCTGTTTAATGGCATTGAATGTTTGCCGTGTTTGTGTTCTGTGATCTGCCCTGAGTCCCCTTCAGGGTGAGAAGGGTGGGATCTAAATGTTGTAAATAACTAAACAAATAAGATGTGTCCAAATGCTTTCTTGTAGATGGATATACTGCAAAGGGCATTGGCAGAAACTTCTAGGGGTCTTTGGGAAATATCTGGATGTGTCTCTGTCGATTCCCTAATTCTCCAAGAACAAAAACATGTCTGTGTGATGCAAGGAAATGCACTGCTTGCAAGGTGGGCTTTTGGGAGCAGAAGGGATTTTGGCCGTTGAGCAGTTGGAAGAGAATTACAACCTCTACAGCAGTGGTTCTCAACCTGGGTCCCCAGATGTTTTTGGCCTTCAACTCCCAGAAATCCTGACAGCTGGTAAACTGCCTGGGATTTCTGGGAGTTGTAGGCCAAAAACATCTGGGAACCCCAGGTTGAGAACCACTGCTCTACAGCCACCCAAAAAGTGATTTGCAATAGTGTAACTCTGATTCTGGCGTGGGCTGGTCCATGAGGTCACGAAGAGTCGGAGACGACTGAACGAATGAACAACAACAAACTCTGATTTATTCTAATTCCTTAACAGGATGCCTGCCTCAGTTTGCACTCTCAGCCATGGTGAGCTTTGGCAATACCTAGAGATAAGAGGTCTTCTTTCATGATTTTAAGGTATTCAAAGCTCTTTACATATAACTGAAACTGCATTCAGTGAGCTCGTATACAAAGCAGGGCTATTGTAATTGACTTAAGGCATAAGTTAGGGCAGTATATATGGTAATGATGAGAGATATCATGCAGAGCATCTAAAAACCACTGAGTTTGAGAAGATTTGTTTACAAACAATGTCAACATTTTTAAAAGATATGGCTGAATTGGCTGTCCTGGAGATTAGCAAAGAAAAGAAGATTGCACATATGATGACAATGAGAAAAGGGAACCAGAAGGTGTTGGGCTACAACCCACAGCATTCTAACCCAGAACAGCCAATGGTGCAGAATGATGGGAACTGTACTCAGAGGCGGCCCTAGGTAATTTTCAACGGTAAGCAAACAGTATTTTGCCTCCCCCCCCCAACCAATCACTGATATATATTTTCTGTTCGTCGTGGGAGTTCTGTGTGCCATATTTGGTTCAATTCCATCATTGGTGGAGTTCAGAATGCTCTTTGATTGTAGGTGAACTATACATCCCAGTAACTATAACTCGCATTTGTCAAGGTCTATTTTCCCCCAAGAGCGCCTCAAGAGCGCCCCTGGGCAAAATCAATTATACTGCAAATGCTTACTTTGCATAATGGGTTGAGCCGCCCCGGACTGTACTCCAGTCTTATCTGAAGGGTTCACATTCCTATTCTAAATGGCAGTGATTCTTCTTTCTAAACGTGTTTGTGCTCCTCGTGAGCATTAGCATGTTGGATATACCTGGGCTCATGGTACAGTTGTATCCATACAGTTTCTTGTGAAATTCATGTATACGCACAACAGCTTTACATTGTCCGAACTCCTAGAGAATACAAAAGAAGAAGGACCTGTCTTTTAAACTATACAAAGAACTTTGTTCAAGAAGGAGGAAAAACTGGCACTGAAGCTCATAATGTCACATGCATTCTGCTGCCATATCACCCACTATTGATAGACAAAGCCCATCACTAACTGCTATTTCTGCAATATTTGCATCACCTGTCTAGGGCAGTGGAGCCACCCTGATTTTTTGTTGGCATGCCAACAATAGCATGATGTCAGGGGATGCTGACAATACCCAGTTCTATATCTCCTTTATAACTGATGCCAACAAGGCCTATCATAGTTGTCTGGATGCAGTAAAGGACTGGATGCCTATGAATAAACTGAGGCTTAATCCAGACAAGGCAGAAGAGCTGGGATAGGGATCATAACCTATTCTGAATGGGGTTGCATTCCCTCCAAAAGATCAGGTCATAGCTTGGATGCAGTAGTGGCTGAGAACATGGTTCCCCAACTTTGAGTGGTGTACCAGCTGGGCCCTTTCTTGGGGAAGGCAGACGTGGCCAACATCATTCATGCCATTTTGTAATTGTAAGACTGTATAAATGTAACTATAACTATGATGCTCTGGCATTAAAAGCCTCGCAGCCCACATAAAATGACATGGCAGGATGGATTTGGTCCGTGGGCCTTGCGTTTGACACCTGTGCCATTTGACATTGGTCTTCCCAGAACTGCATTGGCTTCCAGTTTGCTTCTGAGCTCAGTTCAAGGTGCTGACATTGACCTAGAAAGGTCTAAATGAATTGGGGCCAAGATATCTGGGCCTGCCATGTGAGTCTGGCAACAGCAATTTGACATCTTTAGTGTAGGCTTTGTGTGTTGCAACATGCTGCATATCAGGACACATTGTGCAATGGGACACAGTGTACAGTAGGACAATTTTCCAAGTGGTTTTACTGCTTGCTCTTGTTATGCAATGGTCCCAGTTGCACAGCTCTGCTTCTGCTCCCCTCCTGAGAATTAAGAACATCGCACAATGGGCTTATTTCAAATTTCCATTATTTCATATTGGTTTATGGCAATGTAACTTCCCAATAGTATCTCCATCAACATTTGTTAAATTCAAAGTATTACAAGACTTTGAAATTCTATTTTACAAATCTGAACTCATTTTGTTCCTAATCCCATATTCATGCATTTTAAAGAGGTAGGCATGATTCACTCAGCAGCAGGTGAATATACAAGTGTATAGGCTTCCGATGTCTAAGTCAACCTCCACATGTGGATGGCGTGAATGAAAACAAGGCACTCTGTATGCCTTCAGTTCTGCAACAATTTGAGAAGTTGCCAGAACCCACCACAAACGTCCTTGTGAAGCCAGACAATGCCCCAGATGAAGAGTTCCTGAGGCACTGTGGACCAGACATTTGGACGTTATGAACTGCAATGCTCTCTTAATGGTGAGATGCATACAAACAAGAGAGCCCTTGGGATCATGCTACAGCTGCTTTTCTCAACATGTCCTGTGATCTGCAGACACAGATATAGGATGGGTGATGCCTGGCTTGAAAACAGTCCATGTGAAAGGTATCCAGGAGTCTTAGTAGACTGGGTGTGAGTCAAGAGTGTGATGCAGCAGCTTAAAAAGCCAATGCAATTTTAGGCTGTCTAGTGTCAAGATTGAGGGAAGTCATGGTCCCACTCTCTTCTGCTTTGGTCAGACCTCACCTGGAATAACCCCGTGTCCTCTTCTGTGCACCAAAATTCAAGAAGCTTATTGACAAGCTGGAATATGTTCAGAGAAGGGCTACCAAAATAATCAAGTATTTGGAGACACTGATGAGGGGACAAGCTTGTTTTCTGCTGCCATGGAGACGGACACAAAGCAATGAATTCAAATTGCAGGAAAAGAGATTTCACCTAAACATTAGGAAAAACTTCCTGTTGGTAAGCAATAGTTTGGCAGTGGAATATGCTGCCTCAGAGTCCAGTGAGGTCTCCTTCTCTGGAATTTTTAAAGCAGAGTTTGGATGGCCACCTATCCAGGGTGCTTTGTTGGTGTCTTCCTGTATGGCAGAAGGGGGTTGGATTATATGGTCCTGGGCGGTTCAATGATCATTTCCCATGTCCCCAACTGCAATGCCTCGGAAACTTCCTGATTGAGGCACTACTTAACTGAAAAGGCAAGTTCTTGAGGTCACATTTGGTCATTTACATCAATAACTGTGAATCTCAAAAATTACAAAGTTGTAAATGCAATTTATGGTCTTGTAAATATTGAGCAGGATGGTGGTCTACATTTCAAAAGTAATTATGAAACTGAGAGTCTACTGTACTTTGAAAATGCTATGATGATTGGGTTGTTGTAGTTTTTTTCAGGCTATATGGCCATGGTCTAGAGGCATTCTATCCTGATGTTTCGCCTGCATCTATGGCAGGCATCTTCAGAGGTAGTGAGGTCTGTTGGAACTAGGAAAAAGGGTTTATATATCTGTGGAATGACCAGGGTGGGACAAAGGACTCTTGTCTGCTGGAGCTAGGTGTGAATGTTTCAACTGACCACCTTGATTAGCATATAATGGCCTGACAGTGCCTGGAGGAAATTTTTGTTGAGAGGTGATTAGATGTCCTTGTTTGTTTCCTCTCTGTTGTTGTGCTCTTGCAATTTTAGATTTTTTTTTAATACTGGTGGCCAGATTTTGTTCATTTTCATGGTTTCGTCCTTTCTGTTGAAATTGTCCACATGCTTGTGTATTTCAATGGCTCCTCTGTGTAGTCTGACATGGTGGTTGTTGGAGTGGTCCAGCATTTCTGTGTTCTCAAATAAAATGCTGGAAGTTACAGGTGAAACGTCAGGAGATAATGCCTCTAGACCATGGCCATATAGCCCGAAAAAACCTACAACAACCCAGTGATTCTGGCCATGAAAGCCTTCGACAATGCTATGATGATTCATAGAAACAAGGAAGTCTTTAAAAGTAATTTCTCAAGTCTGGAAAAAGTGAGATGAAAAGTGTATGCAATAGGTTGGGATGGGAGTTATGGGGCTCCATGTGTTGTTGGACTGCATAGCCAGCGTAGCTAATGCGGAGGAATGTTGAAAATGCAGTCCATCAATGCCTGGAGGACACTATAGGTAAACACTCAGTGTAATCACTCTTTGCTGTATTCTTAATGTCACATTGAACATGATGTTTGCTGCATTAAATGTGTCTTGCCCCTTATTGTGAAAGCTACCGGGAGAACATCAATGGGTGCCACAGAGACACAGTTACTTGCCGTGTTGCGGTAGAATTGCCGGTCTCCACAAGATGACCAGTGTTTCCCAGACACTATGGGACATTCGGTATCCAGCACATCAAGAGTGAAGTAGATCATGGATGTGTTTTCCTGAAATGGGAGAAAGGAGAAGAAAATGCAGCAGGTTCACTCATGCTTCCACAGGCATTTGAGATCATAGAATCATAGAATCAAAGAGTTGGAAGAGACCTCATGGGCCATCCAGTCCAACCCCCTGCCAAGATGAAGAAAAAAACATTTTCCTAAAGCGAGTATTCAGATAAATAACACACACATCAAGACCAAGAGACATTTTAAGAGTTTCCAAATGTATTTACAAACCAGTTTTGTTAGAAATCAAACACTGGAAACCCGCGGATATTTCTGTAAGATGAGATATAGAAGGGCTAATGTCCAATGAGGATTTCTAGCACTAACAACACTCTGCTTGGCCATGGACTCTCTCTGGGTGATCTTGGCCAAGCCAGACTCTCCCAGTCTCCAAGGAGGGCAATGACATTTTCACCTTGAACAATCTTGCCAAGAAAACTCCATCATAGGTTCACTTTAGGATCACTATAAATTAGAAACTGCAAGTCGCTTCTGGTGTGAGAGAATTGGCCTTCTGCAAGGATGCTGGCCAGGGGATGCATGAATATTTTACCATCCTGTGGAAGGCTTCTCTCATGGCCCCGCATGGGAAGCTGGAGCTGACAGCTGGGAACTCACCCATCTTCCCAGATTTGAACCACTGACCTTTTGGTCAGCAGTCCTTCCAGTTCTTTTGCAGTTTCTCATGTTGCTCCTATTGTGGAAAAAACCCCCATAAACATGAAGTCAATATTAACAGAAACAATACTACCTAGCCTTCTCCATTTTGGATGCTCCATTGTTCTTCGTGTCCCTCTTGTTTCTGTTTTTTACAATGGTCACTAAGCACATGCCGTCCCCTTGTATTGTTCTGATTCGTTCATTAAGGTTTTGGGGTTTTTTTGGATGGGAAAGAGGATGTACTTCTGGAATATCTGGAATAGCCTCAAGCATTTAAATGCATTCTTCTTTTTGGACCAAAATGTATCATTGATTCTTAGCAAGTCCACACTGTGAAATGTCTGAGGGCATTATAACTATAGTAAACTCCACAGGAAGCCTACGTATCAATAATCATATGTTTTAGTGTTTTTCACAGTGAAATCCCTGTATCAGATCTGGTGAACATTTGAACTTCCAGGTGCTTTTGGACTCCAGTTCCCATCAGCCCTGGACAACATGTTGCATTGTCAGACTTGTTGGGAGATACAGTCCAATATCATCTGGAAGGTCACAGGTTTCAATGGCAAATGATTATATTTATTTAGTTAACCTATTTCCCTTTAAGCATCCTGCTCTCCAAGGCCAGATAATACACAAAGGCCTTTACCTGCCTAGGAATGAGAGCAAGGACAGCTTGAATCTAACCTTTTTAGGAAGGACCTCCCAGAGCCTGGGAGAAACCACCAAGAAGGCCCTCTCCTGTGTTTCCACCAGAGATAACTGTGAAGGTGGTGGGATGGAGAGGAGAAACTCTCATATGATGAACAGGGTCATATGCAGTCTTTTAGATAACCCGACCAAGCAGTATAAGGTTTTGTAGCTCATAACCAGTCTTTGAATTGTGCCCAATAATGGAACAGTAGCCAGTTGGGCTGTAGCAAGAAGGTTTGGCTGCTCCTTTGCCATACAATATAAATATTGTGTAAACATTAATGCACTTAGTTAAAATTTCTCCAAAGAATGAATAAATTGAGCTTTGTGGAAGTGGTCCAATAAGGAGTCTTTGACTGAATCCGCACTGGAGAATTATAGCATTTGAAACCACATAAACTTCCATTATTGAAAGTGATGGAAATGATATTTGGAGATTGTGAGATATTTATCCTTCTCTATCAGAGAGGTTTGCATAGGAATCCAAGTAGTGTCTTACTCAGGCATGGGCCAACTTTGGCCCTCCAGGTGTTTTGGACTTCAACTCCCACAATTCCTAACAGATTGTGAGAGTTGAATTCCAAAACACCTGGAGGGCCAAAGTTGGCCCATGCCTGGTCTAACTGCTATAATTCTACAGTATGGATGGTCTCTGTTAAACCAGTGATTCACTCCTGGAATATGAACACACTCTTGAGTCAGTCCCAGTGATACTACTTACCAACTGTTGCACATGAGCATCAGCAACCCGTAGGAGAGTGAAGATGTATCCATGCCTGCGATGCTTGTTGATCAGGTCAAGAGCCACGGCTGCATCTTTTTCTACCTGGGCGTCATTGCAATCAGCAGGTGCTAAGGCAGGTGGGCTCTCGGTGTGACAGCAGATTAGCCCCGCAAGAAACACTGCCACCGCTAGCAGCTCCATTGGGGCTCTGCACCGCAGACTGCCCTCTCTGCCTCTGCCCTACTCTGTTGAGTCAACAGAAGGAAAACCCTCCCAGAAACACACAGGTTGATATTCGAGAGGACAGTGCTGTTTTTTTAAACAGAAAATTGCATCAGTGTAACCAAAACCTTTTTCCTTGATCTTTAAGAATGGCAAACAATGAATGAATGATTTATGGAGCAAGCAGGGGAGAAAAGAAACCCAAATTAGTTGCAAAAAAAGAACAACTTGTAACTGGGCTGAAATAATCAGGTGGACAAAGTGTTAGAAGAAGTAGATACAGTAGACCACTGGTTCTCAACCTTCCTAATCCTGTGACCCCTTAATCCAGTCCCTCATGTTGTGGTGACCCCCAACCATAACATTATTTTTGTTGCTACTTCATAACAGTCATTTTACTACTGTTATAAGTCATAATGTAAGTATCAGATATGCAAGATGTATTTTCATTCACTGGACCAAACTGGGCACAAATACCCAATGCACCCACATGTAAATGCTAGTGGGGTTGGGGGAGGATTGATTTTGTAATTTGGGAGTTGTAGTTGCTGGGATTTATAGTTCACCTATAATCAAAGAGCATTCTGAACTCCACCAGCGATGGATTTGAACCTAACTTGCCACATGACCACTGGAAAACACTGGAAGGGTTTGATGGGCATTGACCTTGAGTTTGGGAGTTGTAGTTCACCTATATCCAGAGAGCACTGTGGACTCATGCAATGGTGGATCTGGACCAAACTTGGCACAAATACTCAATATGCCCAAATGTGAACACTGGTGGAGTCTGGGGAAAATAGATCTTGACATTTGGGAGTTGTAGTTGCTGGGATTTATAGTTCATTACAATCAAAGAACATTCTGAACTCCACCGACGATAGAATTGGCTCAAACTTCCCACATGGAATCCCCATGACCATCAGAAAATACTGTGTTTTCTTATGGTCTTTGGTGACCCCTTTGAGACCCGCTTGCAGCCCCTTCAGGGGTCCCGACCCCCAGGTTGAGAAACACTAGACTCTCAGGTCTCTTCCACACAGCCATATAACCCAGAATATTGAAGCTTCCGGTGGTGCAATGGGTTATACTCTTGTGCCTTCAGGACCGAAGACTGACAGGTCAGCGGTTCGAATCCAGGGAGAGCGCTGATGAGCTCCCTCTGTCAGCTCCAGCTCCCCATGCTGGGACATGAGATAAGCCTCCCAAGGATGGTAAAACATCAAAACATCCGGGCGTTCCCTGGGCAACATCCTTGCAGATGGCCAATTCTCTCACACCAGAAATGACTTGTAGTTTTCCAAGTCGCTCCTGACACACACACACACACACACACACACACACACACACAAAACCCTGAATATCAAGGCAGATAATCAACAATATCTGCTTTGAACTGGATTATCTGAGTCCACACTGAGATATAATCTAGTTCAATGTGGATTTTATACACCTGTGTGGAAGGGACCTCGGTTAACCGTAATTCAAGCAACCAGCAAAAAAAAAAAAAAATGAAGAAATAATACTTGAAGTAAAATTAAAATAAACTACAAAGCTGTCTTTATAATAAAACTGTGTCAAATTAAGTTTGTCTATATTTGTCTTAATCCTCTGATTGTGTTTCAATGTTAAGATTGAAGCAATACAGAGGTTATGAGACAGTACCATACAGATCCAGAATAGGTCTCTATAGTCACTTACAGAGCCATTGCCAAGACTGTATCCTTGGAAGACAATCAGTCTCGACAATGACGGATCACCTATGATGATTATGAGTATCGGGTATAGAATTATTTAGGCCTATTTTAATAGTAATTTCCCAGAAACTAGAACTACATTTATCTGGCATCTACTATATTTATCGTGTCATCAGCAACCAGACATTTGTATTACATTTTTAACAAAAACAAACAGACAGACAGACAGAACACAGAATTTGCAAGCTTGGTAGTTGATTAAATGTCCTTTGACCAGTAGCTGGCCACTTGGAGTGCCTCTGGTGTTGCCGCAAGGAGGTCCTCCATTGTGCATGTAGTAGGGCTCAGGTTGCATTGCAGCAGGTGGTCTGTAGTTTGCTCTTCTCCACACTCGCATGTGGTGGATTCCACTTTGTAGCCCTATTTCTTAAGATTGGCTCTGCATCTCGTGGTGCCAGAACACAGTCTGTTCTGGCACCACAAGAACAGATTTGCATCTACTAATATCTGCGGATGCCAGTTAAATGAGAGTTTACTTATGTTGATGCATAGGCCCACTGGGGGACGGGGGGACGGGACGGGACCCGCGGTGTAATCGGCTGGCATGCACAGCAATGACTTAATTGTCTATGTCCCAGCAAATAAATTGATAATACTATCAAAATCCAATTTTAAAATAAAAATATACAGTCAACCATCCACATTCATTGGAATTAGGGGCACAGGAACCCTGTCAAAGTGAAAAATTATAAAACTGATACTTTCTTACCTTTATTTATCATGTCAGGAGCAACCAGACATTTGTATTACATTTTTAACAAAAACAAACAAACAGACAAAACACAAATTTGCAAGCTTGGTAGTTGATGAAATGTCCTTTGAGCAGTATCGAGCCACTTGGAGTGCATCTGGTGTTGCCGCAAGGAGGTCCTCCATTGTGGCAGGGCTCAGGTTGTTGCAGCAGGTGGTCTGTGGTTTGCTCTTCTCCACACTCGCATAGAGGGATTCCACTTTGTGGCCCCATTTCTGAGATTGGCTCTGCATCTCGTGGTGCCAGAGCGCAGTCTGTTCAGCGCCTTCCAAGTCGCCCATTTTTTACTTTCTTACCCGAGAGAACACCTCTCCAGGAATCTCTAGTTTCTCCACCATGATTCCATGACCAACCTCCAATAGGGTCTCACTGGAGGACCTAGAGATCTTAGAGACAACCTCTGAATAATGACATCCATAAAAATCAAAAATGCAAATCTGGAGAACCAAATGCATTCAGTTTTCTAGTCCTTAGTTTTGTGAAGAAAACTTCCAAAGGTGGGCAAAGCAGGCAATCCAGTCCAGACATTGGAACTAAAGGAGATCCAGCCCGTATCTTGGGAAGCCAGATCTGGCCACGGTGGTCCACGCTCTCGGTACATCCCGAATAGATTACTGCAATGCACTCTATGTGGGGTTGCCTTTGAAGACTGTTCGGAAACTTCAGTTAGTCCAGCCAGATTACTCACCGGAGCGTCATACAGAGAGCATACCACCCCTTTGTTATGTCAGCTCCACTGGCTGCCGGTCCAATTCCGAGCACAATTCAAAGTGCTGGTTTTGACCTACAAAACCCTATACAGTTCCGTCCGGCATACCTGTCCGAACGCATCTCCCTCTACGTCCCACCTCGGAATCTGAGATCATCTGGGGAGGCCCTGCTCTCGACCCCACCTCTATCACAAGTGAGGCTGGTGGGGACGAGGAGCAGGGCCTTCTCGGTGGTGGCCCCTCACCTGTGGAATTCACTCTTGGAAATGCAACAATCTTGGAAATGTACTTTTTTGGATTGTATCTCCAGAACCTTGCAACCAAATAGGCAACTGACTAGAGATTTTGGCAATTTCGGTCTCAAAAGTCTCCAGGATTTCCATTACTTACACACAGAGGAGCTCCTGGTGGCACAGTGGGTTAAAGTACTGAGCTGCTCAGCTTGTTGACTGAAAGGTTGCAGGTTCGACTCCGGGGAGCGGCCTAAGCTTCCGCTGTCAACCCCAGCTTCTGCCAACCTAGCAGTTCAAAAACATGCAAATAGGTACTGCTCCGGCAGTCATGCTGGCCACATGACCTTGGAGGTGTCTATGGACAATGCTGGCTCGTCGGCTTAGAAATGGAGATGAGCATCACACCCCAGAGTCGGACATGACTGGACTTAATGTCAGGGGACAACCAACCAACTAATCATCAGTAACTTATTCAGGGGATATGTCAGTACCAGATGTTTTCAACATGCTGTAAGAGTTTGCAAAGCCCCATGATCTCCTAACTAGAAGAACATCCCTATGGGTGTTCATTCTGTATTGGCGAGACGACACATGCATTTTGCCCATCCTTCATCTAGAGCACCAGGCCTGTTCAAAGCCAAAATCCTGAAGGCAACAAAAGTAGGAAAGAAGGCTGGAAAGGGGTGGCACTTCAGCATCTGAACCTTCTTTGCATAGACACCAACATTTCATAGATGAAAACCAGGAGGCAGGTGAGCAAACAATCTCAGAGCGTGGTCAGGATGCCAAAGGTTATTAACGAGGAAGAACATAAAGGGTGAATATGCTTTTTCCAAAATAGGAGCCAAAATGTTTTGGATTTTTCATTTTTGTACATAATCTGGGAGATAGAATTTTGGGCTGAACATAAAATTCATTCATGTTTCAGATATGTTTTATATACATAGCCTAAAGGTAAATTTATACACAATATTTTAAATAAAAATGTGCATGAAATCAAATTTGGTGCATTGAACCATCAGAAAGCAAAAGGCTCATTATTGCAGCCACACATGTGGATAATTTTGGAGTATTTGTATTCTAGAGATAAGGAATGCTGAACATGGCCAGTTAAGAAGAAGCCGCAGCCATTTATGTTTGCCTGCTTACTTACTTACTTAGGCGATCCCTCATTGTCCGAGTAGGACAATCCTCCAGGGTGGGTCCGTGGGTGACTGTGGAGCTCTATTCTTGATCTGCAGCGTCTCCCACAGTGAGGGCGTTGGAAGGCGGTCCCAGTCGGAGTTGGCTTGACACGCCTTCCTCTTGGCACGTTTCTCTCTTTCACCCTCCATTCATGCCTCTTCAAATTCTGCAGCACTGCTGGTCACAGCTGACCTCCAGCTGGAGCGCTCACGGGCCAGGGCTTCCCAGTTCTCAATGTTTATGCCAGAGTTCTTAAGGTTGGCTTTGAGCCCTTCTTTAAATCTCTTTTCCTGTCCACCAACATTCCGTTTTCCATTATTGAGTTCAGAGTAGAGCAACTACTTTGGGAGACAGTGGTCAGGCATCCAGACAACGTGGCTGATCCAGTGGAGTTGATGGCGGAGGACCATCACTTCAGTGCTGGTGGTCTTTGCTTCTTCCAGCA